GAAAACATAGACCTAGGCTTTTCTTAATTTTAGTACTGAATTCCTGATTTTAACATAAGTGCTCTTTCTAATCCAAAAGTTATGTTCTTTGGGGATTCTATGCATGGGGTTAAACTGATGTTAAAATAGTTTGGGAAAAAAAGCATCAGTTTAAGTCCTGTAATCATTTCAAGTGTATTATCCATCCTTCAAAATTAAGTTCATGAGATTTAAGACAATTATGTTTTCATTAAGTTCTTTTGTTATGCATGTAAATTTCTTTTTTGTATGATTAAAGAAAGATTATGATAAAATGATTAGTTCATTTGTATTCATTTGTAGCAATTACATAAGAATTTGAATTTCCATATTTGAACTTGTTCATTCCTGTGAATGATTTTCTTTTCTTTTTGAAACCCTCAAAGATTAAAAAGAACTATCAGGTTTCCTTAAAAATTACTCATTCATTTAAAATAAAAAAGAAAGAGATGGGATCTAGTGGAAGGAGATTAGGTCATTGGAAGCACTGCCCTTTAAATGGATTAATGTAGATTTTGAGGTAACCTAAGATAGCAGATTATTACAAAAAGAGAAATCCAGGTCCCTGAATCCCTGTGGCTCCCTGTCTGTCTCACATGTCATTAGCCAAAAAGTCCTCACTAGAGCTGAGCAGATGCTAGCACTATACTCCTGGGTCTCCAGACTATAAGCTAAATAAACCTCTTTATAAGTTTCCCAGCATCAGGGGGTTTGTTTGTTTGGTTTTGGTTTTGGTTTTTGCTCGGGGTTCTTTATTTTTACAGTACTTGGGGATTGAATCTAGAGATGTTCTACCTTTGAACTACATGCTCACACACCCACCCACCCACCCACCTGTTTTAAAATTTTGGGACAGGCTCTTGCTAATTTGCCCAGGCTGTTCTTGAACTTGCAAAACTTCCTATCTCAGCCTTCTGCGTAACTAGAAAACAGGCTTGTGCCATTGTGATAAGCTTCACCATCAGGTGTTTTGTTATAGTAACAGAAAACATACTAAAACATACTCCAATTTTCCATTGTTTTAATAGTAGATTCCTTTGAGAATCTGAACTTGAAAAAAAATGTACATAGGTTAAAATGCACTTAAGGACAAATTTTTAAGGCCTGAACCATGGACCCAGGTTAGACTCTTGAGGTAAAACAAAGAGGACTTTGCAAACAGGCTAAGCTCTACATATACAGACCCAACAGGAAATCCATCCAGCTGAATATAAAGTCACTAAGTCAGCAGGTGACCATACAAGTAGAAAGTGACATCAACTCAAGGTCAAGGGTAAAATGAATGCAATATGGAAGTGAGCCATAGAATGTATAAAAAGAGGGTGGAGACCAATAAGGGTATTCTGGAACGTGTAAGGGCTGGCTGACCTAGGAGGGAACCAGTCTCCTGTGGTTTCACAGAGGAAGAGGAGTTGGGCGAGCCATGGAGGAGAAAGGTCTTCCTTAAAGAAGTAGAGGCTAAATCAGGATATATTGCCAGGGAAGTGTCCTGAAGCAAGAGGCCCAGTGCTGAGTTTCCCACAAAGGCCCAATGCACACAGATTCCCAAGTTCACACCACTGCTTCTCATGCCTCCCTCTCCCACTCAGTCAGCATGTCCTCCATATTCTATATCTTGCTTCTATACTGTTTCGGTTCTCTCTCTTGTTTGCACCTGCTTGCTGACTTTTAGCCTCAGGTTTATCTGCCTATGAAAATACTCATGGGTAAATCCTCTTTACCATGTCCTCCTCTTACATACCTGCAGTGGCATGACACTTACCCCCTATAAGGTAATCCAAATCTTTTATAGTGAAAATAACTAATATAATAATTATTGAATATCTATACTAAATTAAACAATAGAAAATCGCTTTTTGGGTAGGATGAATATAGTCATTGGAAGTTTTAAAGGGTTTGACTTAATATACACCAGGTACATAACTTTACATTATACATTGCATTATCTCATTCAATCTTCATAATATCCATGTAAAGTAAGTCTAATTTTACAGATAAGCAAAGCTAGGTCCAGGAAAAATTGATTAATTACACAGCTAGCAGATATCTGACCCAGACTCAGTCCCAGGTTTAACACTAAACTATCTCTTTTAAGTACTCTGGGTGCTGTGTTTTTATAATAACCTATGCCTCTGTCCTGATAGCTTATCCTGCTCTCTAGAACCTTCCTGAACAAATTGGCATGCTACCCCCACTTTCAATAGGTTTTTAGAATTTCCTTCTATTTGTTTCTTTTTTTTTTAAGAGAGAGTGAGAGAGGAGAGAGAGAGAGGAGAGAATTTTTAATATTTATTTTTTTTTAGTTCTCAGCGGACACAACATCCTTGTTGGTATGTGGTGCTGAGGATCGAACCCGGGCCGCACGCATGCCAGGCGAGTGCGCTACCGCCTGAGCCACATCCCCAGCCCCTAGAATTTCCTTCTAGTTGAGTACCCCCAGCTTCTTCCCCATTGCTCTTGGCAGAAGTGATGAATATCTTTTGCATATCTTTTGTTATTCATACACATCTTCTTCTAGGCGACTGGTAGAGCGCTTCATACCCCACACTGGAATCTGTGGCCACTAATATGTCCACCAGTCCATTCACATTCAAGCAGGTCCTCAATTTCAGAATTCTATTCTTTCCAAATTGATACCTCACAAAGAACTTCTTCTTTGCCCATTCATTCCTTTCTTGTTCCTGTTATTTTCTTCTATTCTATCTTATTTATCTCTAAACTTGGACTCCAAAAAAAAAAAATCACCTGTGGGATGAATGGATAAAGAAAATGTGGTATATATACACAAAGGAATATTACCCAGCCATAATGAAGAATGAAATTATGGCATTTACCAGTACATGGATGGCAGAACTCTATAGTTATGCTTTTTTAAAAAAGATGCAGAACTCAAAAGGAATGAAAAAAATATTCAGAAAATAGTGAATGTTTTCACTAAGAAATATAAAAGTTCCTTACAACATTGTTCATAATGCTATAAAATCAGAAACACCCTAAATATCTAACTAAGGGACAATAGTTCTCAATTGAGGTGGTTTTGCTTCTCGAGGGGCATTTAGAAATGTCTGCAGATATTTTATTTATGGGGGGGTGGTTACTGGGGATTGAACTCAAGGCACTCGACCACTGAGCCACATCCCCAGCACTATTTCGTATTTTATTTAGAGACAGGGTCTCATCAAGTTGTTTAGCACCTCACTTTTGTTGAGGCTGGCCTTGAACTTGAGATCCTCTGCCTCAGGCTCCCAAACCACTTGTCAGCAGGTATTTTAGTTGTCATAACTTTCAGGAGTGATATTGGTATCTAGCAGGTCAAGGCCAACGTAAGCATTCTCAGTGTTCTGCCTTTCACAACAAAGAATTACTGAATACAAAATGTTAATAGTGCCAAGGTTGAGAAACCCTGCTGTAGAGGGTGGTACTGTGTGGCATTATGGTCCCTCCATACAGAGGAGTGCTCTGTAGTCACCAGAATGAATGGGAGATCCTCAGAAAGATGTTCATATTTAGCAACACATGTTACAATCTGGTATAGATATGTATTCTCAAACTTTTTAGAGAGGTGGGAAAGAGCATTTGGACAGAGTGCTCAGTTTACTTTGGTGGGAGTGTTTGAAGTTTTTTTAAAAAAAATGATGGGTAAATAAATTGTAGCTTATTCATCCAATGGAATACTATACAGCAAGGAGAATGAATGAACTTACTGCTACACATAGCATATAGATGAATATCACAAACAGAACTTTGAATTTCAAATCTCACAAAACTAATCTGCAGTGTTTGGAGTTATAATGTTAACCATGGGTCAGGTGGACACCTTTGTACACAGTACTAAATGTGTCCAATGCCCAAAGGACTTATACTCTACAGCAAAAGAAGTAATCTACTTTCCAATAAAGTTCATTTACAAAGTTCAAAGTGCCAGCCACTGTTTATGATCATGCATTCTACAGTGGTTACAATGTAGAGACATCAAGGAAAAGAAAGTAAGGTTCACCCAGAAAGTAAAGTGTTCTTTTGCTCCTTCCTGGTGTGCAGGAGGGGCACTTCAGCAAGGATTCTGGTATTTTGAGATTCACTGCAATTGATAGTCTGTGGACCACTGGGTGTATTTCTGATGAACAATCCAAGAAGTTATAGGCTGGAGCCAGAGAAAACATATTAAAGTGCCAAAAGAAGGTCAAGTGCATTGAAGGGAATCAGATTTTTAAAGGTAGGCCTCTATGGAAAAGGACAGATTGTCTCTGAGTAGCAGAATTATGGATGATTTTAGTTATCTTCTTCATGCGATTTTCTACAGAGAACATGTATATTTTTGTAATAAAAGAAGAACTATGAAAGGTGTGTTGTTTCTCTAAGGACCCTTAGAACAACAGAATCAGAATCACTGAAATCTAAGACCGAGAAAAACTTTCGCGCAGAAATCGTGAAATCCGGCCCCTCAAGTGCCAGACCTGTAATGGATAGGAAGGAAGCAGTCTGAGTGGCCGCTGGGCAAAGACAAGGCAGATACCGAAGAGGCTCTGGGGAAAGGGTGGCGCCGAGAAGAGCAGAGGAGGCTGGTGGACAGTCATCTCCCAGCTCCTGTCATTTCTGCCATGGAGGAATGTGGAAAGGGCTGTTAGATCTCAAGATTCTCCAGGAGAAGCCAAACAAATCTCCTAAATAGTGTTAGGCTTCTGTGTCAAAGGTTTAAGGAAACGATCTTAAAGGACAGAAGAACACAGACATAGATAATAGGCTAGGCTGTTCCTGTGAGGCCTATTGCAACCTCCTGATTGAGTGGTATTTAAGTTCACCTCCTGCTCTGTGCAGAAATCTCTTCTCTGTTTTAGCAGATCAAGGTGAAGAGGGAACCCTCACCTTCCACCCTGGGCCCAGCAGCATCTGGAACACACTGATCCCCATAATCCTGGTTCTTGGGAAATATTAATGACTTAATCTCCCAAGCTCGATCTCACTCCTATGTGTCTTTCTTTCTCAGTGAGATTTCCATGCAAGACCCAGAGAAGTCCAGATCAGAGCAGGGCACGTTCTGACGCAACTTGCCACAGACTGCAAAAGTACCCTTGGAAGGCCTCCGTCTCAGCACCTCCAGAGAAGTAGGCAGAGGGCTTCCCAGCCATGGGTGAGGTGACAGCAGAGGAGGTGGAGAAGTTCCTGGACTCAAATATTGGCTTTGCCAAACGGTATTACGATCTCCACTACAGGGCCAAGGTCATCTCAGACCTCCTTGGGGCCAAGGAGGCAGCTGTGGACTTCAGCTACTACCACCCACTGAGCAGCGTGGAGGAGAGTGAAATCATCTTTGATCTCCTGAGGGACCTTCAAGAGAACTTGCAGGCTGAGAAGTGTACCTTTAATGTCATGAAGAAGCTGTGCTTTCTCCTGCGGGCAGACCGTATGAGCCTGTTCATGTACAGGGCCCGAAACGGCATCGGGGAGCTAGCCACTCGACTCTTCAATGTCCACAAGGATGCCACCTTTGAGGAATGCCTGGTGGTGCCCGATTCCGAGATCGTCTTCCCTCTGGACATGGGTGTCGTGGGCTATGTCGCACAGTCTAAGAAGGTCATCAGTGTCCCCAACACAAAAGAGGTACTCTGTTCCCCATAAGAGAGGGTGGTGAGATATTATTCAGTGGGGCTCTGGGTACAAATGGGTCAGGGAGCTGCTGGTCACCAAGTCTGGGCTGATGACAACACGGTGCCTCTAATTATTTACTTATTTTATTTTGAAAAAAGTTCAGACTTAACAGAAAAGTTTAAAATACTACAGACAACTGGATATTTTCATCCAAATTCACCGATCATTTGTATCTTGTCAAATTTGTTTTCCGACCCACTTGAGAGGAAGTCGCAGACTTTGTCCCTTTGTTCCTAAGTACTTCACTCTGGATTTCTAGAACAAAGAAAGGTTTTATATCGCCACAGTATAATGACTGAATTCAGGAAATGCAACATTGCTGCAGTATTATCATCTAACCCACAGGTCACCTTCAGGCTGTGCCAACATCCCGGTCATGTCTGTGCAGCCCTGTCTCTTTAATCTTCTTTAGCCGGAAACAAGTCCTCAGTCAATCTGTGTTTTCCTTGGGGCTGATGTTCTTGGAAGTCACAGACCAAAATATATTTCCAGAAATGTCCTTCATTTGGCCTTGTCTGATGTTTCTCTATGATTAGATTCAGGTTGTGCACTCCTGGCGGGACTATCATTGAGATGATATTGTTTTCCTGGTTGACATCAGGAGGCAGGATGGATGGCTGACTCTCTGGTTCCTGGAAATGTTAACATTGATCTCTTGGTTAAGCACTGGGCTCCTTCTAAGAGTCCTGCAGTCCACTGGATTCTACCAACAGTTATGATAAAGTTCTCTTTGGTCACCGTGGGCAAATCGTGTCTCTTTTCTGGACATTAGCTTTCAAAATCTGCTATGCAGGGTCCACATACTCCTCTTCACTGGCCAAGTCCAACCCATCCTTTAGATTGCTGCTTACAAGTCACTTACTCAGGCTGGGTATGGTGGTGCATCCCTGTAAACCCAGTGAATCAGAAGGCTGGGCGGCTAAGTCAGGAGGATTGCAAGTTCAAGGCCAGTCTCAGCAATTTAGCTAGGCCCTAATCAATTTAGTAAGAACTTGTCTCAAAATTAAAATTAAAAATAAAAAGGGCTGGAAATGTGGCTCAGAGGGTAAGCACCCCTGGCTTCAATCCCTGGTACCTTTCCCACCCAAAAAGTGTCACTTACTCAGGAAGGCTCTCCTGATTCCCCTGTTATAGATTGCCCTTCCTGAAATTGCTTATCACAGTAAGCCCGCATCCAGGGCCCATGTCTGCCTTATTCCCCAGGCATTTATCCTAAGATCCAGAACAATGTGCAGCACGAAGCAGGTGAGGAAACACAGCATAAAGATCACAGCCAGGTAATTATGCAGTAAATTTCTTGAGTCCGTGTCACACCCAAAAGAATGACTGCCCCATAGTAGAGGGCCCGTGTGGGGCTCACTTACCACCACATTGGCCAAACCAGGAGCCCAAGTTCAACCATTTTCAAGATTGAGAACCTGGACTTTTTGTGTCTTGGCCTTATTTCAGATGAAGGGTCTTCTTAAGTTTAAAAAAAAAAAATGGAGAGGGAGGTAGGGCATCAGAGATAATTTTATTCAACTGTTTTATTTAATATTTAAGAAAAACAGATCCAGGAGATCTCAGAAAGGGGATCGTGCAGGATCACCAGAGAGTTGTGGCCAAGCCAGGACTCCATACCTACTATTGCCAGTATTCAAGAAGGTCATCAAGTCCAGGCTTGAGCCTCTGTGGGACACACACCAGGTGGACTCCCTCATGGCGTTAGTTTCTCCTCTTATTTCCCCTGGGGCTTTCAGTTTTCTATATTTTTATGATGAATACATAAATTGTAGTTTACTCATCCAATGGAGTACCATACAGCAATGAGAATGAATGAATTTACCACTATACATAATAATATAGATTAATATTGGACTCCAGATCCTACTCAAGAGTCTTTCAGGAGGACTTGTCTAACTGGATTGGAGTCTGTTATCTTTCCAATTCTCTCCGGACTTTAATTGTACCCCACAGGATTATCTCATTGCTTTCATAACCTTTGATAGCATAACTCTCAATATCTCTGTCCTATAGATGATGAAATTGAAAGCCAGAAATATTAAATAACTTTTTCAGAGTCACACAGTAGAAAGTAGCAGGCAGGGATCTTAAACTGGCTTTTTTTTTTTTTTTTTTTTTTGGTACTAGGGATTGAACCCAAAGGTGCTTTACCTCTAATCAATATTCCCAGCCCTTTTTTATTTTGAAAAACAGCTTATAATAATTGCTGAGGCTATCCTTGAACTTGCAATCCTCCTGGCTCAGCTCCTGAGTCACTTGGATTATAGGTGTGTGCCTGGTTGCACTCTGGCCTTTAGACCATGATCTTAACTCTGATGTTCTATACTTTCTCAGTATCTAAAACATGAGGGCATGGGATTGTGTGTCCAAGAAAGGTCATTTCTAATCAAAGAGAAGAGAGTTAAGATCTTATCCTTTGAGATGAGATCTGGGTGTGAAACCTGTCACTTTCTAATTATATGTGCTTGGCAAATCTCTTAGCCTCATTGGATGGATTTCCTAATTTATAAAACAGTGATAAGAGAAGCCTGGGGCCCTTCTTCCTTTCTGTAGCAGGAGGTTTCAATCATCTGACTCTTCATATAACTCCTCCATGATTTGGGGGGACTCCTGTGCATATATAAGTAATTAAATGATCTTTTCTCCTGTTAAACTGTTGTACATAAATTTAATTTGTAGCCCAGGCAAAGAAGTCAGAAGGGCAGAGGGAAGCTATTGTTCCCTCCCCTACAAATAGACTCTCGAATTAGATATCTCAGGTTTGGGAGGTCTGCTTCAGCTTCCTCTGGTAAAAGAGGTTGAAAACACTAACATGTATCTCAGGGTTGTTATGAGGATTTAATTAATTAAAATTTATACACAGAACAGTGATTGGTATACAGTAAAAAAAATCAAAGATTTTGATAAATTCTATTTTTATAGATAAGGAAACTGGCACAGAGGGCTTAGGTAATTTGCTTTAGATAACAGCTAGTTGCTGGGCATGGTGGCACATGTTTGTAATCCCAGCAATTCAGGAGGCTGAGTCAAGAGGATTGCAATTTCTAGGCCAGCCTCAGCAACGTAAGCAAGGTCCTAAGCAACTAAGAAAAACCCTGTCTTAAAATAAGAAATGAAAAGGGCTGAGATTTAGCCTAGTGGTAAAGCACCCCTGGGTTCAATCTCCAGGACCCAAAACCAAAAGCGAACAAATAAAAAGCAAACCGCAGTAAGATTTATCATCCAGCATTGTAAGGATTAAGCAAAATTATTCTTTCTCATCTAGCAGTGTTCTTGGCACATTGTAATGGCTCCCATTGGTGGCCCCCATTCCTTATTTGTATTATTATGTTGTTAAGGACTTATTCTAAGTGATAGGTACTTCCCTGGGTCTCTGTGGAATATGAAGAAGAATCTAGTCTTATCTTTCTAGAGCTCTCGGTTCAGATTCTGTTTGTGGGAAAGCAGAGAACAAAGGTGCTGAGAGCTTCTGTAGACTCTGGCACTATGGGATGGAGGATCTTAGAAAGGTCCTTGGATTTCCCATATCTAAGCCTAACAGTTTATGGAGCCACCGAGCTAAGGGATGGCCTGTGACTTTCTCTTCAACCCTCAAAGTTCACCCTGGCAGCCAAGCCTGTCCTTCCCTGGAAGCTCTTGAGCCTGGGACAGTCTCCCTAGCTGTGACTCAACCCCGAGGGCGAAGTCAGACCAGTATTTGGATGTTGTTTGCTTCTGTCCTCCTTGGGAAATCTTACTCAGTTCTTGCCTTTGGGCAGGACACAGTCTTGGCTGCCAAAGAGAAACTGGAAGTGAAGCAGGGGAGGAGGAAGATGTTATGGACTGGAGTCTGGGTTGTCCCTGAAACCTCAAGTCGTACTTTTAGCCCTCAGTGTTGGAAAAAACCTGGGGAACGATTACAATCGCTGCACTGTTGGGGTAGGAAAACACGAATGGAGTTTTCCACGCTCTAACGTACCTCCCCACCCTAGAAGACTCCTACTTATCCTTGGGGTCTCCTTAGGAAGACTTGCAGTTAGGATTGCCAAGTAAAATATAAGATGGCCAGTTACATTTGAATTTTATATAAGCAAAGAATAGTATTTTGGTATAAATATGTTCCATGCAATATTTAGAACATATGACTAAGGAATTATTTATTACTCACCTGAAATCCAAATTTAACTGGGTATCCTGTATTTCCTTACTAAATCTGAAAACCCTACTTGGCACTAAATATTTATGAGTGTATTAAACTTTAATTCTTTTTCCTAGCAGGAAAGCCCATGAAGCTGTCTGTCCCCAAGCACAGTTGTCTTATTCACCACAGGTGACTAGCACCTAATCTAGTGACTGGGACAGAATGGGACGCTCTTTGCAATTGACTTGAGTGAGTGAAAGAGTGGACAGCAGCCCTTTCCCAGCACCTCCTGAGGTCAACCAGTCCCACTTTTGAAGGCTGAACCCTGATAGGACAGCATTCTAAGACACTCATGTTTAGTCCTTCCCTTCCTGGAGATCTGGGACCTGGCAAATTAGACAAGGAAAAAACCTCCAGAAGGGCCTGAGCCCTCACTCTGTTTTTGCCAAAGGGGAAACCAAGGCTCAGAGGGATTCCAACTACTGAGGGTGCATTGAGTAGCTCCTAAATCCAATCCTAGAACAAGCCCCTCCCTCTCTGGAGCTCCAGGCATCACCCATTCTGTGAAGGGCTGCTTCGTATTATGGTTTGAATTGTATGTTCATGTTTTACAGGATCCCCTACTATACTGTGAGAACCCAATAAGAACAACCTCATATTATTGGTCTTGGCATACTAGTGCTTGACCCAGAGCCAGGTTCAATAAATATGAATGAATGAATGAAGTGATGAGCAAATCAATGGATAAACCAATAAATCAGTGAATGAAGGAGTGAAGTGACTGTGGCACTTAGCAGTAAAGGAGTTGGCTATAAAATGAGGAGGGTGAGAGTTTCTTGTGGCAGAGCTGATGTAAATTAATGAGGCTATATGTGAAAATTGTCTGGCCCTGAGCCTAGCCCATCATTACTAAATCATTAACAGATCTCATCATGGGATTCAATAAAGCTTAGCACTGTGAATGTTTGAAAAAGAGAATTGTGAATCAGGAATGAGAAGGGTGCTACATTGCTTTTCAAAATCTAAACTGTAAAATAAATAAATAAACAAACAAATAGGGCTGGGGATGTGGCTCAAGCAGTAGTGCGCTTGCCTGGCATGCGTTTGGCCCGGGTTCGATCCTCAGCACCACGTACAAAGAAGTTGTGTCTGCCGAAAATTGAAAAATAAATATTAAAAATTCTCTCTCTCTCTTTAAAAAATAAAAAATGAATACATAAAATAAAGGTATTGTGTCCATCTACAACTAATTTAAAACAAACAAACAAACAAATAAATAATAAAATCTAAACTCTACCATGTTCTCCAAGGCCCCGATGAAGGCGATTCCTGCCCCCTAATTCCTGCCCCTAACTTCCTCGCCCTCCATTCTCCCTCTCCTTCTAGATGCTTCAGCTACACTGATCTTTCTGTTGGTCAGAGCTACCAGGCTCATTGCCACCTCTGTCTTGCATTCTTTGTGCCCCTTGCCTGGCTCCTTTCAGCTCTCGGTTCAGCATCACATCTCTAGAGAAGCCTCCCTGTCTACCATCATTAACCAAAGTGGCTTCGGCCTGTCACCTCTTCCATCACTTCCTACAGCATCACCCAGTTTATTTCCTTCAAAACTGATATACCACCACAAGCTGGAGGGAGAATGCTTACCATGAACCTGCTTTTTGTTTGTCTTTCCCATTTAAATGTAACTTTTAGCACACCTCTTGTTCACTGGTATGGCCCCAGGCTCCAGAGCAGTTCCTGCATATAGAAGGCAGCTTTGTTAATTCTAACCAAATAAATGGATGACTTTGTGCTTTTCCTAGCCAGGCCTCTGATTCCTGAGCTTCAAAATAAATGGTTTGAGCTAAATGTCATCTAAGTCCTCTTCTGCCTCTGATCATCTGAAAGTGTATAATATGATCATTTAGAACGTACTGAACACATGCAGATGAAATGATTGCATAGATGCCAGTCAGTTGGTAGCTGGAGTGCTCATGAGGGAGTTCCAGGGATGGTGGATTCATGGAAAAGAGGATTCTGGTGGATTTAGAAACATCTGCTTCAAATGCAGGCAAGGCTCAAGGGTCTGCTTTCCCTATTAGAAGCAAACTCACTGCATGAAATGAATGTGAGCATGCCCTATCCTAACCCATACTCAGGAATTCGTCAGTGTCCTTAGAGAATGACACAGAAAACTCTCCTGGCTAATGCCTCTTTAGAGATTTTGCTTAATCCTCAAATGCTAATTCAAGTAGAACACTACAGGCTTCTCTTAATTCCTTTACCCTTCACCTGGTTTAAAACAGCTTCACAGTCAGGGCCATTGTCTATTTAATCTCACTCTAACCAGAAGAAATCCAAAAACGAAGAATATCACCCTCAGAATTTTTGAATCATGGGAAAGATTCGGCAGACTTGGTTTTAGAAAAGTTCTATGAGCCAGGTGGCACACATCTGAAATCTCAGTGGTTTGGGAGGCTGAGGCAGGAGGATTATGAGCTCAAAGCCAGCCTCAGCAACAGCAAGGCCCTAAGCAACTCAGTGAGACCCTGTCTCTAGATAAAATACAAAATAGGGCTGGGGATGTGGCTCAGTGGCTCAGTGTCCTGAGTTCAATCCCTGGTAACCCCTGGAAAAATGTCAAGTTCTATGAATTGGCTCTGTGAAATACATTTCCATTCTCACAACGGCATGTGCTGTGCATGTTTGGGTTGGCTTGTGTCCTAAGCCACACTGAGAGTTGGGAAACTCATGGAGGCACCAGCAGCAGAAAGGTGCATTCTTTCAAGTTCAAGATAACAATCCAGGCTCTGTCTCTTCATTCTGCACACATGGACTGCACCACAGCCTCGACTGGCTTCCCAGGCTGCTCTCAGTGGGGGATGTGAGGGGATGTCTCCCCTGCATCCCTAGAACTTTGAGCCAAGCCCTACGTCCCTGTTACTATGACCGATTTATCTGTGAGAGGCCTGAATCTTAGTCATCTCATATTCCTGGTGTTTGGCAGAGGTCTGACACATAGTAGGGCTTCCATTGAGATTTATGGGAAGGGGATATCTGTTGAACTGGCTGTGTGGTACTGAAACTAGATGTTAGAAAAGCTGAAAATAACAAATCCTTTTGTTCAATGAACTTAACCCCATGCTAACCACATCCCAATTTCTGTGAAAGGCAGCAGAACTGAGGATAGGTTCTGAAGTCAAACACACACACACACACACACACACACACACATGTAACATTAGCTTCAAGTTTCCCCTTCTGTAAGATGGGCTTATGGTACCTATTAGGAAGAATGTATTACTTAGCTTTTCGTTTCTGTGACGAAAATACCCAACAAGAATAACTTAGAGGAAAAAAAATGTTTTTGACTCACAGTTTCAGAGGTTCAGCCCATGATTGGCTGAATCTATTGCTCTAGGCCCAGGGAGAAGCAGAACATCATGGCAGAATGGCGTGGTGGAAGAGAGGGCTGCTCAGCTCACGACAGAGGGGAAGCAGAGAAAGAAAGTGCTCTGCTCACCAGGGACAAAATATAAACCCCAAAGGAAGAACCCCCTTACCTACTTCCTCCAGTCACACCCTACCTGCCTACAGTTATAACCCAGTGAGTCCTTTTAAATTATTAATCCATCAAATGGATTAATCCACTGGTTGGGTTACAGCTCTCTGATCATTTCATCTCCTGCATTAACACAGGAGTTCTGGGGGGACACCTCATACATATCAGGAAATGAAAACGAGATGATGAAGGCAAAGTGACATGCGCAAATACCTGCAAGTGATCGTCATTATTATACTCATTCAAGATTCTATTTTGGGCTTAATTGTCCTGATCTCAAAAGCCTCCTTCAAACCTCCCTCTCTAGAATGGCCCCCCTCCCATCCTCAGGCCCCCACAGGTCTGTGTCTCAGACCTTCTGGATTTTGGAGACTTCATCTCTGGCAGGAGTCATCTCTGGTTGCCTGGCTCTTGCCCCCGGGGAGTATATGGCAATGCCTTCATTCCCTCCTCAATGAAGGGCTCTGGGTCATTTTATTGTCCTCGCTCAGCATTTGCCTCCTCATGGTGGTCTCTGCTTTCCTTCAGGATGAGCATTTTTGTGACTTCGTGGACAACCTCACAGAGTACCAGACCAAGAACATTCTGGCTTCCCCTATAATGAATGGGAAGGACTTGGTGGCTGTATTGATGGCTGTGAATAAAGTAGATGGACCCCACTTCACCAAGGGAGATGAAGAGGTAAGAATGCTTTAGAAGCTGCAGGGGTGGCCATGCTGGCACATTCTCCTAGCTCATGAGGTCCCCCAAACTGTGCTATTTGGCTGGCCTCAGTTTTCCCATCTATAAGACGGGGATTGGTCTGAGGCTCTCTGAAAGAGGTGGGGTAAGATAATGGTGAAGACGCTAGGTTTTGCAGTCAGGAATAAAGGAAAAATTGTTCTTGCTTTTCCAATCTCTCACTGACTTGGGCAGGTCACATAGCTTCTCTGAACCTGTTTTCTTATTTGTAAAACGGTGATGATTTTACAGAAAGTAATAGCTGTCATTAATATCCTCACATCAACATTCTATATTCTGTGAGTTTTACATTCATAATGCAATATTTTATGAGTCTGCTTTCTAAATAATCCTTCTGCTTAAATCACTTCTGATGAAGCTTTTAAAATATTCAGACATTTGCTGATGGCAAAAGTGGCCAGAGTGGATTTTTCCTTCTCATCTGCTCCTCCTATGCTGTTTGATTTTTTAGATTCTTCTCAAGTACCTCAATTTTGCAAATCTACTCATGAAGGTTTACCACTTGAGTTACCTGTACAACTGTGAGACTCGGCGTGGCCAGGTAAGGGTTTGGCTCTAGGAATGGACTGGACATGTCCTTTTACTGAAGCACTGATGTGGTTAGAACTGGCAGGACAGGTCGGAACGAAGGTGCCTGGGAACCATTCTACAGTCTCCAGTGAGAATCCCCAGTGGTATCAGGCAGAGGAGGTTTGTAAAGCTGAAACCCAGAGTGATTATATACACAAAGTTTCAAGTTAGACAGCTTGGATTTTAATTCCTGCTCATTACCTACTCCTACACCCTGAGCATATCAGATGGCCTCTGAGCTTTAGTCTTCTCTTTTGAAAAACAGAGCTAGTTATGGTACCACCCTCAAAAGATTGCTATCAATAGTAAATTATGCCAGGCTGGATGGCACACACTAAAATCTCAGCTACTTTGGAGTCTGAGGCGGGAGGATCATAAGTTGTCCAACTTGGGTAACTTAGCAAGATTCTGTTTTAGTTATCTAGCATGCTTGAGGCCCTAAGTGGAATCCCCAGTACCACCACTCCCCCTCATCCACATAAATGAGATGATATATGTAGGGCATTTGTGTCCAATTAATACTCATTATTATTTTTATTATTATTTTTTTTTTTGTAGTACTGGGAATCAAACCTGGGGCCTTGTGCATGCTTGGCAAGTGCTTTACTAAAAAGCTACATTCCCAGGCCCTTTTTATTAATATGTTTATTAATAACATATAAGATAGAAAAAGTACAGAGTTGATCACAGTATAAACCAGCCAGTTAATTCACCTCTTCAAGCCTCAGTTTCTCAATCTATAATATCTATTTCTCCAGGTTATTGTGTCAATTAGATGAAATAAACTCAAAAACTTTACAGGATTGTTATTTTTATCTAGCTGAGTGAACTACTGCTCTGTGCCTCAAAAGCTCTGCATACTTTTTTGTATTTCTGTAGATACTGCTGTGGTCTGGGAGCAAAGTCTTTGAAGAACTTACAGACATTGAGAGACAGTTCCACAAAGCCCTGTACACAGTCCGTGCCTTCCTCAACTGTGACAGATATTCTGTGGGTCTCTTAGACATGACCAAGCAGAAGGTGAGAAAACTTCAAGGTCAGACATTTCCAAAGAAAATCAGTGCCATGACCAGTGTGTCCAGTCTAGCAGTTTCTGGCAAGGGGCTATGGGGGATTAGAAAAATAAAGACTCACAGATACAGATTTTGAAGATAAATAGCTGGGATCAGGTGGAGTGCTGCTCTCTGATGGAGAAGCAGATCTAAAGAGATATGCCAGCAATCTTTATTTATATATGTCTCATTATCAGGCTAAAGACTATGCAAGTATTATTCTTGATATTCTGAAAGTTACAGGGCTGGAAACATTTATGAAGCTTTTACACAGTTGAAGTTTATCATTGCAATATTAGGAGCTTTGTGTAGTTCTCAAAAAAGTCCATTGTTTAAAGTTACTGTTAAGTGGGCAGCTTCCAAAGTAGTGGACCTGGTGAAACACTGTTGTTGTCTAGCAGGAGAGTCCCTCAATTCCCAGGAACTATGTGCCTGATATCAATGTCGAGGCTGATAAGACTCGGCATCCTGCACCCTTGCAAAGGAACACTCCCAGGCCCTAGGCTTGCCACAGCCATGAGGTCATCAGAGACCCCAATCTCAGACACTGTTCTCCCATTCTCTGTCACTGCTTTCCCAGAGTCTTTTTTTTTTTGTCACACATGTCATCGCACAAGGAAGAGGCTGGGGAGTTTGCATGTTGTGAAATTCTTACACAGGTCCTAATTGAACATAGGCATACTGGCCTTTAAAGGGGAAAGGTTACTCTAGAGCTCAAGTGTAGCTTAAAACAAGCCTACACTCCCGGGTCATTTAGAAAGGAAAGTGTAAGTGAGAAGAAGGCTGGTGAGGTGAGTGAGAAGTTTTATTGGTTTGCAGTCCAGAAGAAGATGGCCAACCTCTGGATTTCTTAGAAAATGTACTGAAAGTTGGGTATAAAACTTTCCTATGGTTTGTCAAACCCAAGGCTCGAATGGAAGTAGAGACAGGTGCTTCATCGGGTCCTTAAAATGCTCAGGGGGCAGATTTGTAGCCCACATGGCAGCTAAGGAGGCAGAGTTTGATGCGATCCCAAGCAATGGTTCTCAACTATGTTCTCCCAAACTAGTTCTCCAATTCCTTTATTCATCTCTCTACCTCCTGAGACTAATCATTTTCTGTTTTAGAGGAGAACTTCTGATTGCCCAGATTTCTCCTGCACAAGGTGCAGGAGGACTCAATTTCCTTTTATGTACCTTGTTCTACTGAGCATGGTGCATAGACCATTGCGCACCCTCCTCATATGGAGTGGAGTGCAACACAGAATCTGGGGTTTGAAAAGATCTTAGTTTAGTCCAAAGGCCTCCAGATTTGACAGTTCATCAGCATCTACTGAGTGGCTGAGTCAAATTGCTGGGCCACATTTTCTGATAGTCTACATCTTTTGCTTAGTGTTTTATAAACATCTGTCCATACCAATACACATCAATTCTTTTTAATAAGCCTTTATATTGAAGCATAACATAGACCCAGAAAGGGGAATTATCACAGACTGAATCTCCCTGTGTAATCACTATCAAAACTAAGCAATGTTACCAGCTCCTCAGCAGTTTCTTTCAAACCCTCTTCAATATTCCCACAGCTGACTCCCTGAAGGTAGCCACCATTAGACATTGACCACCATATTTGTTCTGCCTATTTTGAGGTACATTAAATGGAATCATACAACACACATTCTCCTGTGCCGGGTTTCTTTGGCTCAACATTTTGTTTATAAGGGTCATCTTTATTGATCTATGTAGCAGTTTTACACTTGTGGAATGTTCCATCATATGAATAATCCACAACAATTTATTGATTTCTACTGTTGATGGAAATTTGAATTTTCGGATCTCGGATGGTACGAATATTGCTATTGTGAATGTTCTAGTATGTGTCTTTTTTGATCAGTTGTACCTGTTTCGGTTAGGTATTTAGCTAGAGTGCATTTTGGGGTAATAGCTTTAGAAGCCATTGCTTATCTGATTTTCCAAATGATTGCACCATATTTTGTACTCCCACCAGCAACGCATAGGGTTTCCACTCCAATACTTGGTGTTGTCATTTTTACTAACTTTCCACTCTGGTGGATATGTGGTGTTTTTCCTTTTGAAGGTAACATGTATTTCCCTAATGATTGATGAGGTTGAACACTTTTTCATGTTTACTGGCCATTTGGATATCCTTTTTTTGTGAACTGACTGTTCCAATCTTTCCCCATTTTTAAAAATTATGTTGTCTTTTTAAAAAATCATTGATTTGTAGATATTCTTTACAAATTCTGAACACAGGTCTTCTGTTGATTATATGCATTACAAATATCTCCCCTCCCCCCCCCTTCATTCTCTTAATGATGTTTTTATTGTTGTTATTTTGGTACTGGGATTTGAACCCAGGGGCACTTAACCACTGAGCCACATCCCCAGCCCCTTTTTTATATTTTATTTAGAGACAGGGTCTCACTGAGTTGCTTAGGGCCTCACTAAGTTGCTGAGGCTGGTTTTGAGCTCATAATCCTCCTGCCTCAGCCTCCCAAGCTGCTGGGATTACAGACATGTCTCACCATGCTGGACTTAATGGTGTGTTTTAATTAATATAAGTTCTGAATTATAATGTAATCCAGTTTATCAATATTTCTTTATGACTATTGATTTTTGTGCCCCATTTAAGAACTATTTCTCACCTCCAAGGTCATAAAGATATTTTTCTATGTCAACTTCTAAAAGTTGTATTATGTTAACTTTTACATGTAGTTCTATAATCTACCTAAATTTTTTAATGTATAGTGTAAGGCAAATATTAATTTTTCCATACGGATATCCAGTTGGCCCAGTACCTTTTATTGAAAAAAAAAAAAACCTCCTTTTCCTACTATTCAGTTGAAAATATCATCTTTCTCTATCATACCTTTATCATCAGTCAAATATGTGGGAGTCTATTTCTGGATTCTGTATTTTGTCTCATTGGTATGTTTATCTATTCTTCTACAATACCTTACTGCCTTGATTTTTTTTTATATTTGTAAACATACTTCCTAGTTATAAAATTAGCTGTAAGTTTGTTGCTATATGTTAGATATTTTCACTATGTTTTGTGTCTCTAATATGACTTTCTGTATTTTTACTTTCATATTTTTGTGCTTCAACTTGAATATTTCTTCTGATTTATCTTCTGTTAATTACCTATCTTCTCTTTGATTGTGTCTAATTGACTGTAAAACTTTATATTGAATTCTTCATTTCAGCTATTTTTTTTTTAATTTTGTTTTTCTTGGTGTGAGGGATCAACCCAGGGCTATGCACATGCTAAACACTGGACTACTAAGCTATATCCCCAGTCTTCATGTATATTTTTTTCAATTTTAGATTTACCATTTTATTCATTCACACTTTCTCTTTCTCTCTGTAATTTCCAGTTTTTTGTTAAAATTCTCTCCCTTTGTTTGTCCTTCCTCCCCCCTCCCCCTCTCCCTCCCCTCCCCCTCCCCCTCTCCTCCCCTCCCCCTCCCCCTCACTCTTGCTCTCTTTGTTCACTTGTGGTGCTGGGGTCAAGCCCAGGGCTTTAAGCATGCTAAGGAAGTGCTCTAGTACTGAGCTATATTCTCAGTTCTCTATATTATATTTAATTTCTTAGACAAAAACATGATTACTTTAGAATCTATCTGAGCCTGGCACTGTGATCTTGGTACTTTGAAAGCTGAGGCAGGAGTATCACAAATTCAAGGCCAGTCTCAGCAACAAACAAACAAACAAACAAAAAAACAAGGTAGGGTCTGTATCTGAGAGCAACAGTATCTGTGGATACCTTCTATAGACCTGTTTCTATGATCTGTTTCCCTTCTTGATCTTTTAGTTAATTCTTATCTTTCACATTTCTGATCATTTTTGCTAGATCATTAGAGATATGTATGAAAAATTATAGAGATGATTTAAAACTCTGGAACAATGTTATTTCCTTCCAAAATGGATGATTTTACTTCTGGCAAGCAGTTAGATTGCTTAATCAGGGATTATGCTGCTTTCAAGCGGGTTTGCTTCCGGTTCAGTTTTACTCCAGGATATAAACTTTGCAGGAGGGTGTGGATCCCAGCCTAGGGTGTTTTCAAGGATTTCTCTTCCTTGACAGGTCCTGAATTACAATTTTGTCCTTGCCCAGTGAGTCATCTGTCAGCTTTTATCAGTTTCTTAGCTTCTCAACAACTTTGGCGTCAGCAAGTGGGTTGAAATGAAAAGTAGAATCTGATCAGGCTTCTAGCACTGGCATCTTGGCTCATTAAGTACTTGCTGCCTTGCTAGCTCTATGATTCCTTAAATCAATGTTTTTACATACATACACCCCAGATTTTGCAATTTTCCTATTGAGAGGCTTGATTTGAAATAAATAGCCATGATTAATCAAAGTAAAAATCCCCTTCTTTGTTCTGTAGTTCATATCTGAGGTTTTTGAATAGTCTGGTTAATTTATCCTTTTCCCTGTTGTTGGGCATTAAATGTATTTCTAAATATTCTTGCAATTAAAGACAAAGCTGCAATAACAACCTTAAAGTTGAGTCCTTATGTTCTTAAGTGAAAATGTCTATAGAGTTGTAGAAGTGAAATTATTTTTATTTTGCTTTTTTCAAAATTTTTTGTCTAAGGGCTATACAATTTTCATTCTCACTCATACTGCATTAGAGTCTTTTTTTACCAAAACTCTTACCAATTCTTGACATCATACTTTCCACCCACTATGGGTAAAAACTGGTGTCTTTTTTCTTCCAGTTTTTTTTTCCCCCCCCACTGGTTACTCAGAAGAGGAACTATGTCCTTTTGTTTGGATTTGATTTTTCTTTCTCCATGCACTTCCGGACATATCACATGTCAATTGTTAAGAGTTGTCTGTTTCTTGTTAATTCATAGGAGGGCTTTGTATATGATGGAGATCATACATCTGTAACATGTGCTGTAAACTTTTTTCCCTATAAATTATATTTTAACTTTGTTTATGACATCTTTCAACATACAGAAGATTTAAAATTTATTTTATGGCTTCTGAGCTCTAGTTTTTATTTAGTAAAACTTCCTTACTGCCAATGTTATAAAGATAATCTGAAAAAAATCTCATGTGTTGACTTTTAGTGTTTTTGTAGTATTTTGGGTGGTGGTTGTTGTTTTGGTACTGGAGAATAAACCCAGGGGGTGCTTTACAACCTACATTCCCAGGGATTTTTATTTTTTATTTTTTTAAAATTTGAGACAGTGTCTTGCTAAATTGCTGAGATTGGCCTCAAACTTATGATCTTCCTGCCTTAGCCTCCCAAATTGCTGGGATTACAGGTGTGCACTAACCCAGCCTTATAGTTTTGATTAATATAATTTAATCTTTTATTTATCTTGAAATTAAGTTTATGATGTGAGAGAGGGGTATATATTTTTTTTCCTTCTATGTTTCTCCACTTAGAAAACAGCCTACCTTCAGGATTGGGTATTCAGTGGCAGAGTGCTTGCTTTGTACATGAAAGGTCCTGGTTTTGATTTTTGGCACTGAAAAAAAAAATAGAAGAAAAGAATGGTCTACCCTTTAGCCATTCTTTAGCATGCCACCACTTTGAATCCTCTTTATTATATATATTGCATTTCCATGTACCATATAGGCTTATTTTTCTGATTTTACCTTTAAAAATAAATAGCTCCTGGAGCTGGAGATGTGGCTCAGCGGTAGCGCGCTCACCTGGCATGCGTGCGGCCCGGGTTCGATCCTCAGCACCACATACCAACAAAGATGTTGTGTCCGCCGAGAACTGAAAAATAAATATTAAAAATTCTCTCTCTCTCTCTCCTCTCTCACTCTCTCTANAAAAAAAAAAAAAAAAAAAAAAAAAATAGCTCCTTACGTGATTCTGGTGTAGTTGGCTATATACTATGATATTAAGGGACTCTAATTCTAGTGCAAATATTTATATGACTTTTATACTCTTGAGTCATATATTTTTGCCAAATATTACTAATTCCAGCAATATACTCTTGGCTTCTCCTTCAGGAAGTAGCAAATAAATTAATCATACAGATAAATGATTCCTTTTTAACCAAAATAATTTGTTTTCCTACCTTTCCTGCCTTCCTTCTTTCCCTTTTTATTTTAATTTTAAAAAATTTTTGATAGAGTCTCACTATGTTACCCAGAATGACTTAGAACTCCTAAGCTTAAGTGATCCTAATCCCAAGTAGCTGGGACTATAGGTGTGCACCACTATGCCCAGTTCTTCCCCCCCCCCCCCCACTTCAGCATATTTATTTGCAGTGCTGGGGATTACCCTCAGGGCCTCATGCATACTAAGTACACAGTATACTACTGAGCTATATTCACAATGCAATCAAAAGAATATCCAATCTGGGCACATGCTGGTAATTCCAGCAACTCTGGAGGCTGAGTTAGGAGGATCATAAATTCAAGGCCAGCTCTTATTTTTGAGATTCTGTCTCAAAATAAAATAAAAATGGGTTGGAAGTGAAGTTCATGGTAGAACACTTGCCTAGTATATGCAGAGCCCTGGGTATAATTCTCAGTACTGCAAAAACAAATAAACATCAACAACAAAAAATTCTGAATAGTCAAATTTCCACCAGGCACACATCCCAGTGGCTTGAGTGGCTAAGGTAGAAGGATCAAGAGTTCAAAGCCAGCCTCTGCAAAAGCAAGGCACTAGGCAACTCAGTGAGACCCTGTCTCTAAATAAAATACAAAATAGGGCTGGGGATGTGGCTCAGTGGCCGAGTGCGCCTGAGTTCAATCCCTGGTACCAGGGATTGTACACTTCAAGTGGATTCATTTTATAGTATCTTAGCTTAGTTTCTGTTGCTATAACAAAATTCATGAAGCTATATACTTTTTAAAGAAAAGAGGTTTATGTAGCTCATAGTTCTGGAGCTGAAAGTCTAAGATTGGGCACCCCCTTCTGTTTGGCCTCTGGTGAGGAACCAGTGGCAGATGGGAACGCATGTGTATAACATCACATAGTGTGAGAGAAGCCAGGAAGATCCAGGGGCCAGGTTCTCTCTTTATAACAACCTGGTCTCTCAGGAACTAACTGGGGTCCGTCAAAAATTAAATGACAAGGGCAGCATTACATATGACCTAGCCACCTTCCACAAGGCCCCACCTCCTCAGGGTTCCATCACCTCTACATTGTCACACTGGGGACCAAGTCTCCAGCACAGGAAGCTTTGGGGATATACTGAAGGCATATCCTAACCAAAGTCTATGATACATCAGTTATATCTTAATAAAGCAATTAAGAACAAAAAGAGAAGAAGGGAGGGGAGGGAGCAAATGAGGGAGAGAAATTTACCCCCCTCTCCACCCGACCCTGCTTAGCCATTCTCTTCTCCTGGTACAGCCTTTAGATCCACTCAGTGTTTGGCCACACAAAGCATCAGCCCAATGTACTTGTTCTTCTGGGCTCCTCTGGCCTCTCCCATCTCCTTCCACCACTGTTTCAGTTCTTGCTCCATCTACCTGAGTACTYGATTGTCTCCTTCATGGGGTGGTGAGTTCCTCTAGGAATAAACCGTGCCTTATTTATCTCTGTATATCTAGCAACAATCAGGTTGTGGGGCTCAGCTAGGCCCCAGTTTACATCTTCATCCAGAACTGAATTTCTTCCTGTGGCTAGTCATCTAGAAAAAGGGCCCAACTGGGCAGAAGGCTGAGGACATGAAGGCTGAGTTCCACGTGGACTCCCTTGTGCTTGTCCTTTGGACGGTATGAGAACAAGCAAACCCTCAYACTGAGATGTGTTGTTCAAACAGGAGAGAAGCAAAGGAAAAGTGCGGTTGGCCTCCTACCCTTAATAACCCAGGCTAGCCGAGTACAGTTTGTGCCCACATATTACAGCTTAATGAACAGCCTTGGAGGTGGGAAGACCCAGACTTGACGCAACACAAGGTTTGCAGCTCTGCCTGCAAAGGAAACCCAGCGCAGTAGCAGGCCAGAGACTGTGTGGAGTCCCACTGGCTCCTCCTCCTGAGACTGTGAGACCATACAGATCCTCTCCAGGCTCTTTTCTCTCTTCTCTGCCTGTCTTGACCATGGGAAAAGAAAAACTTGAGGACAAAATTGATGTAATGGAGCTTTCTTGAGTAAAGAATGATTCATGAATTGGGCAGCACTCAGGGCCAAACSATGTCCAAGAGACATCTGCTCTGCAGCATGCTCACTGAGGTTTTTTAGATTGAACTAAGAGGTAAAATACAGACATAACTTGACTTGTTAAAGGTAGACATTTGCCTGATTTGGACCTGATCCAGTCAGTTGGCTGCCTGGGATTGGCTGAAACTTCTATTTGCTGTGAAAATATGTTCCTAAATTGGGTTTTTGTTCTTTTACATAGTAAGTCAGGTTGCACTTTGTATTGTGGGAACTCAAATTGCTAGGCAGGAACCCAAAGTACAGAGACAGCCTCAGGCTAATAACCTCCTATTTATTTTTGATTTATTAGCTCCTCATTTTAGAGGCGGCAACCTTTCTTGTTGGATTTATCTGTTACATTTGGCACCATTGTGTATTTTTTCTTTATTTCCTTCTTTTTTTCTTTCTTTMATTCTTTCTTCCTCCTTCTTTCCTGTACTCAGGATTGAATTGACTGAACCATATCTTCAGCCCTTTTGGCTCAGGGTCTCACTAAGTTGTTTAGGGACTAGAGCCTCACTTGGTTGCCAAGGCTGGTCTTGAAATTGCCATCCTCCTGCCTCAGCTTCCCAAGTTCCTGGGATTGCAGGTATACACCACTGTGCCCAGTTTGGGCACCTTTCCAATCAGTACACACACATCTGTAACGTCATTGTTAATAGATTATTATCTACTAATGTTGTTAATAATGTTGTTAATAATTATGTGCCATATTTATTTTAATAATTCCATCTGGTTGGACATTTAAATTGTTTCTTATTTTTCACTGCTATCAATGGTACTGCAGAGGGTAATTCCTTCCATCATGTGTTAGTGTGTCTTTATGGTAAATTCCTTAGCCATGGAGACTCCACTTTCCCTTTTGCATCCCACCACACTGAGGATGTCCCAACTCAGCTCCAATGTTTTGGCTAACAATTAGACAAGCCCTGTTCATCAGTATTTTGTAGGGCAGATGTGATTATCACGTAACTGCAGTTAGTGATTCTAGTGAGTCTCACTGCTCTTCCATGCTTGGATCCCAGCAAGCTCTTCCCACCTTCTGGATTTTAGTGACAGATGATTCATATCTGTTAACCTTCTTTTCTTCAGTCTCTTTTTCTTTACCCATTTTCAAAACACCTAAACTGATTCCTTCATTCCTAGGAATTTTTCGATGTCTGGCCAGTTCTGATGGGTGAAGCACCTCCCTATACCGGTCCCAGGACCCCGGATGGAAGGGTAAGTCTCTCTCTAGCCTTTTCAATATAAACAARTGCTTAATAAAATTCAAATATAAGACACAGTAGACTGCTGAAGGACATTTCTTTTTTGCACATGCTTTTATCTTCTCTGGGTTTGTTTGTCTCTCTGGAGTTAGAATAATTCTTCACAATCATCCAGGCCTGTCTTTTGCAGAGTTATCTTTAAATACTTACTGAAGTTTCACAGTAACCTGGTGAGGTAGATTAAGGAAGAAATCAGTACCTTCATTTCAAAGGTCTTCTAAATTCTAAATTCTAGAGAGACTTTTTTTTTTTCTGYTCAATGCTGGGGTCAAACTCAATGTCTCATGCATGCTAGGCAAGCACCCTACACCAAGCTACATCCCCATCCTGCAGTGGGGACTCATTCTAAAAACGAGGTTCAATATTTAGAATGAAAAATTGAGATGCCAAAAAGATGTGTGTGGGATGTGGATGTGACACATGGCACATAGAACTGGCACTCAAACGGCCTACAGAACCTGTTGAATAACTGAAGAAGCTTAGCAGGAACCTCAGAGGATCAGAAAATGTGTTAGTCAATTTTCCATTGCTGTGACAAAATACTTTATAAAATCAACTGAAAGAGGGAAGATCTCTTTTGACTCATGGTTTCAGAAGCTTTACTTCGTGGTCACTGGACCCTGTTGTTTCTGGCCCTGTGGTCAAGCAGACCATCATGGCAGGGAGCATGTGGTGGAGTAAAGCTGCTCACCTCATGGTAGCCAGGAAACAGTGGGGGAGAGAGAGAGAGAGAGAGAGAGAGAGAGAGAGAGAGAGAGAGAGAGAGAGAGAAAGCCTTATAACAAAGGCTGTCTGCCCAGGCCCACTGAGCTAGGAATCCATCAATGGATTAATCCATTCTTGAGATCAGACCCCTCATAATTCCTTCACTTCCCAAGGCCCCCCATCTGAACATGGCTGCTTGGGGACCAAGTCTTCAACACAGGAACTTTGAGGGAACATTTAAGATCCAAACCAAGCTGGGTGCCATGGTGCACACCTATAATCCCAGTGCTCAGAAGGCTGAGGCAGGAGGATCACGAGTTCAAAGCCAGCCTCAGCAACTTAGTGAGGCCCTAACAACTCAGAGAGACTCTGTCTGTAAATAAAACATTTTTATAAAGGGCTAGGGATGTGGCTCAGTGGTTAAGTGCCCCTAGGTTCAATCCCAGGTATAAAATAATAATGATGATAATAATAATGACCATGATGATGATGATAAGATCCAAATCATAACAGTAAGAAAGACAGTCTTATTCTGAATTGAGTATTAGTTCAGCTCTCTTCCCATAAGAATCTTCATTCTGGGTGAAATAGTATATCAGTTTCTCCCAGAGGCCTGATTCCACCCAAATAAAGAGCCCAGAGTGTGCACTCACACATGCCTGTATGACTGTGAATGATAAAGAGTCTTAATTCAAACTCTGGAAATTCAAAATTAACACCTTTGTGAGCTTCATATACACACCAGATGAGATTTCAAACTTGGAATTTATTTTGTCTGCTATATTTTATCCAAAATGACCTTTGTAACCTGTTGCCATCCAGTTTCAAATTATGTTTTTGCCCACACAATTTTATGATTGCATTTCCAAGGCTGAATCAGTGCTGGGGATGTAGCTCTGTGGTTGAGTTCTTRCCTAGCACGTGCAAGATCCTGTTGTACCATCTAGGGGGGGCTGGCTTCGTTGTCTCCATTCAGCAAAGAATTGAAGAACAGAGACAGCAAATAGGAAGTAGGTTTATTGCAAAGATGACAGAGATACAGAGACAGACATCTCCCAAAACCCTAAAGCTGGGAATCCAGTGGGGGAGTTTTGGCCTATTCTTTTTATGGACTCTGGAATTTCCTCCTTTCCTTATCTACTCCCTTGTCCACGTGCTCCTCACCATTATTGATTAGTGCCTCCTCTGTCCACGTGTCTGTTTTTGTTTTTCTGTTGGATCCCCCACTTAGGAGCACAAGTACAGAATTATCAGTTTGTTTGGGTCCCCCGTTTGTGTCCACGAGCACTTTTATCAAGCAGGAAGTTGACATCATCACAAGACCCTCTCCATGCTCATTTGTTCTGTCCCGGCTCCCAACCTCCTCACTCGACATCTTGCTCTGACCACCTAAGCACTTCTACATCTCCCTCACTGGGTTTGCACAAAAAATAAAATTAAATTAAAAAAAAATGCATCATGTCTTGCTGTCAATACTGTTTCAAAAATACTATGTCACGATGGGCACGATGGTACATGCCTGTAATCCTAGCGCCTTGGGAGGCTAAGGCAGGAGGATCAAAGCCAGCCTCAGCAAAAATGAGGTGCTAAGCAACTCAGTGTCTCTAAAGAAATACAAAATAGGGCTGGGGATGTAGCTCAGTGGTCGAGTGCCCCTGAGTTCAATCCTAGGTACCTCCCACCCAAAATGTTGTTTGGGGTCTCCTCCTCCTTCTTTTTTCTTTTTCTCTCCTTTGGTGCTGGGAATGAAACCAAGGGCCTTGCACATGGTAGGCAAGTGTTCTGCCACTGAGCTAAGGCCTCAGCCTGATGCCTTTCCTTTTCAAAGACAGCTTTTAATGTGCAGCTTTTCCATGTTGGCAGAGTTAATGTGTTCTCACAGGGCTTTTTTTTTTTTTTTTTTTTAAGAGATCGAGAGAGATAGAGAGAGAATTTTTAAAATTTATTTTTTAGTTTTCGGTGGACATAACATCTTTGTTTGTATGTGGTGCTGAGGATCGAACCCGGGCTGCACGCATTCCAGGCAAGCATGCTACTGCTTGAGYCACATCCCCAGCCCTCACAGGGCTTTTTCTCCAGCTCACATACAATGTGAACCTATATAGAAGCTGGAGAACTGGAATAGAGATCCTCATAACGTTCGACAATACCAGCTTTAATACACTCTCATTGCCTTGGCTGCATTGATATTCAGCTCTCAGAGCTGAGCCCTTAGGTCAGAGGTCAGAAACCATCTCCAGCTCCAGGTCAGCCAGAGAAATGTCAGGAGCTAATTCTTCACTCTCAAGCAGATTGCAGCACGTGTAGTAGCCTAGAGCAAGGGAGCCACCCACCTAGGACCCAGGAGGCCAAGAGGCTCAGGGGAATCCGGAAGATCAAGAAGCTCTTAAGAGCTTAGAGGTGGCCATGCAATGGCACAGCATGATATCCTTGTCCAAGTGGCAAAAATGTTATCTGATGGCTTTGGAACTATCTAACATGAAGTCACAAGTAGACTGCCTTTCAGTCCTGCAACAAAAGGAGGAGAGGAAAAGAAAGACAACATGGACTTTGACCCTTTCAAATCAATTGATGTGTCCCTTTATTGTGTGCCAGGAAGTTCTATAGAGGCTCTTACAGCACTGCTTTCAGATCATGGTCAAGTGCAGCTCCACCGGAACAGATGGCAGTGTGTGTTCTGGGGTGAGTTCCAAGGACACCYGAGAGAAGTCCTGCACAAATCCATGGGGAATCTGCTGAAGAAACACAGCAGAGGAGGCCAGTCAGCCTTGCGTTTTGCCCATTTAAGAAGGACACGTAACTGTGTTCTGAAAGTAGCAGAGACTGCAGACAGCTGTTTATTTCTGGGGACAAAGAGAACGTGATTAGTCCTGTTTTAACTGGATCAGCTGATTTTTATCATTCTGATATGTTTGATCAGAGGTCACAATGAAAGCTTTAGAATTAATGAATGCAGGTGCCAGGCTTGGTGGCACATATCTGTAATCCCAGCGGTTTGGRAGGCTGAGACAGGAGGATCACCAGTTCAAAGCCAGCCTGAGCAAYTTAGCGAGGCTCTAAGCAACTTAGCAAGGCCCTAAGCAACTTAGCAAGGCCCTGACTCTAGATAAAAAAATAAAATAAAAATTGCTGAGAATGTGGCTCAGTAGTTAAGTGCCCCTGAGTTCAATCTCTAGTACCAAAAAAAAAAAAAAAAATTAGTTGATGCATCCTATGGCAGTGAAATGGATCCAACCAGCTATTGAATTACCCACTGAAATCCTCTCTAGCTTGAAATCATTCAAGAGAAGAAATTAATAGACAATATAACCATCCAGGACAGGGGCAAGTACTCTTAGAGTTAGAGATACACTAAAAGCTTTTGAAAATGGAAGGTATAGAGATTCCAATAGTCTGAAAATCTGGATATATTGAGATACGTTCTTCATTGCTAAAGCATGGAAAAGGACAAAATTCTCTATCCAACTCTGGAAAAAAGAATGATAAATCTCACTTCACAAAAAGACAGGACAGAAACATGGGCTGATTGAGAGCACACCTCTGTTGGAGTAGTTTGCAAACAACTATTAAAAAATTGGGGGCTACATTGAAAATTGTCACAAACTGAGCATGGTGGTGCAMGCCTGCAATCCCAGACACTTGAGAGGCTGAAGCAGGAGGATCACACGTTCAAGGTCAGTTAGGGCAACTTAGTGAGTCCCTGTTTCAAAATTTTAAAAAATGAAAAGGGCTGGCATAAAGCTCAGTGGCAGAATGCCCCTGGGTTCAATCCCCAGTATAGAAAATAAAAGGGGGGGGAGAAAATTGCTACAGTTAAGTCACAAGAAGGATCCCAGTTTGTGAAAGAATTTGGTAGAATTACAAGTATTTCACAGCACTGAGCAGACTTCCAGGGAAAGGGAGACCAAAGAGGAGATGATAAAGGCATTGACCTTGATGACCACTAGTAGTCAACATGGGTCCAGCGAAATGTGCCTCRCCCTCCAGCGTCTGTCCCAAGTTGCATATCAGTGGTGGAATCCCAGCAGATCCCCGACTTACAATTAGAATATATCTAGAACTTAATCCATGAGCTTTGACTGTTAAGAAAACAGGAACAAAGCCAGACCCAAACCCTAYACTTTAGTTTGTTATAGTGTTAGCACAGCCGTCAACAATGAAGCTCCTAAATGCCACTTTGGTCTAACTTAAAAGAGAGGATTATCTTACTTTACTCCGTGGTGAAACTGTTCTTTTATCTTGTGGGGAAAAATGATTTTTAAAAAACCTTCATACATAGAAGCAAAAATACTTTTTATCTGCTATAAATCTTCAAAACTTAGTAGGAGTAGTGAAAAAAATTTCTTTCCTCAAATCCTTCCCCATCTTAGAAATCTGGGGTTTAGTCCTTGCAAGAATAAAGTTGTCATGGAAAAGACMGTGGTCCAGAAAACGAGGATTGGGGTTTGGCTGGTTGCTTGAATTTAGGCCGAGYTTGACCAAATAGCTCCTCAGGTCTTTGACCTCCCCAGCCACTGGGTGTTGTCCATGAACTCATCTCTGAAGTCAGCCCCAGGCCTCGGACACAACTGTGAGGAACACACGCAGGGGCCTGAGCTGGGGACCAGACAGACATCCTCAGGACTGGCCAGAAGTGGATCTTCTGGCAAGGGCGTGGGCTTGGTGGGAGAAAGCCTGGGTTCTAGCCTTTGCTCCACTAGCTAGTTTCTCTGTCTTGGAGAACAAACCTCCAGATGGCTGGCCTTCCTCATCTGACACACCCGCCAATCAGGCTTACTTAGCAGGGCCTGCTTCTAACTCAGAATGCTTTTCCCTGTGGTAACCGTAATTACCATCATGCCTTTCATGTTCCCTGTTACAGTGATCAGGACTCTCACATTCATCTCCCACATTCACCTCAGAGATAGGACTTTTGTTTGGGAGCGGTGGTGCATCCCTATAGTCCCAGTGACTCCAGAGGCTGAATCAGGAGAATCCCAAGTTCAAGGCCAGACTCAGCAACTTAGCCAGGCCCTAAACAACTCAGTGAGACCCTGCCTCAAAATTAAAAAAATAAAAAAGGCTGAGGATGTGGATCATAGCTTATATATCTTTTTGTTTGAATTCCAACCCCTTGAGTCTCCCCAAATCTTGGATCTAAAACTCCCTCATAGCAGCTACCTCTTGCTTCATCTCCTTTAAAAATTAAAATGGTGTGTATTTTTTTTAATTATTAAAAAGTTATATAAGCTAATTAGGCTTCATGAAAAAGCAAAGTTTTTTTTTTAAAAGCGCTAGTTTTTAAACTGCTGCATCTCTGTGCACCACGGTCTGGCAACAGCTATACTGGTGACTTTTCCAAAGCTCCTTGTGTTAGAGTGTGAGTCACTTAGTTCAAGGTAACAAAGGTGTCCTTGATGGTTCTGTTTGGATTTCCCAGAGTCTGGTGAATTTAAGTGTGAATGTGGCCTTATAGGCAACAGACTGAGCTATAGTATGTTGAAAAAGTCCTGTTTACCTAAAGCATACTGGTTTTTTTGTTGCTTTTTATGAAAGCACATTGATTGATTCTGCTGTGGGTTTAAAAAAAAAAACAAAAACGTTCTAGAGAGTCTCATGGAGACATAGGTAAGGCAGCCTGCCAGGCACGGGAACCTGGGGCTTGCTGGGGAGTATAGCAAGCAGCCAGGCCAAGGGCAGATGGCCTTAAGGCAAAGACATGAAGGTGGTCAGGAAGGTCCTAGAACTCCCTGGCCAGGGGGAAGCAGTTTTGCCAAAGCCCCAGCAGATGACATGACTATCTTTTCTTTTCTTTTTGGCACTAGGGATGAAGCCCAGTGCCACAGTGTTACTTCTCAGGTTCTAATTGTTTATTTTGAGACAGGGTTTCACTACATTGCTGAGAGGCTCACTAAATTGCTGAGGCTGGCCTCCAACTTGTGATCCTCYTGCCTCAGCCTCCCAAGCTTCTGGGATTATAGGAGTGTGACAGGCACTATCTTTGCTTTTTTCGAAAACCATTTACAGGATGCAACTTCACTATTTTAAAATGCTTTGAGTTAGAGGGAGCTCAGTCACAGGGTGTTTGCCTAGCATGCACTAGGYCCTGAGTTTTACCCCCAATACCTACATCCCCTCAAAATTCTATACTATTTATTGAAAAAGCAATACATGAGCACAATGAAAAGCTCAACTCTTACACATTGAAGCTTCCCTCCCTCCTGCTCAGCCTCCCCAGGCAGCCACAGTGCTAAGTCCATCTGTCTGGGAACGTCTACACACATATCCAGATATTCAGGAGAAGTATTCTAYCATCACCACCCTCAATAAATGTGGTGACTCTATTTTGTGCCTTGCTTTCTRAAGGGCATCTTTCACGATCAGCACAGGTGCAGCTGGAAAACTGCTAATCATCCCTGTATGGACACATATAGTTTGTGGCTTATGATGGTTCAACTTACAATTTTTTGACATTAGGATGGTGGAAAGTGATCTTCATTCAGTAGAAACTGAACTTTGAATTTGGATCTCTGTCCTGGGCTAGCACCATGCAGTATTGTATTCACTCACAATGCTGGGCAGCAGCAGGGTGCCATGGCTCCAGCCAGCCCCGAGGTCATGAAGGTAAACTGCTGACACTCCTGTTCCTGGGCTAGAGTGTTCAGTAGGTTGGGTGAATTTAATGCATTTTGACTTAATGATATTTCCAACTTACAATGGGTCTATTAGGATGGAATCCAGCACAGATTGAGAAGCATCTGTACTCAATTTTGTTTAATCCCCTTCCTAATGATAGATACACAACTGTTTCCGGGCTTTTTGTTTTATTTTATTTTTTAATTAGTTCATTTTAGTCATACATTATATTGGGGTTCATTTTGACTTAATTATACCAACATAGGATAAAATTTTCTCAATTCAGTCCCCAGTACTTTCCCTTCCCTCTCTGCCTCCATCCTCTGTTCCCCTTTTCTTTCTTGATCTTTCTTGTATTTATTTATTGCTTTTTTTAAAATTTGCATGCTATGGAGATACATAAAGGTGAAATTCACTATGGCAAATTCATGTATATGTACTTAGAAATCTCCAGGCTTTTTAGAGCAGTGTGGATGAGACCCCTGGATGGGGCAAACCATACTTCCACTCATAGTTGGGGATGTATCTACAGGATCACTGCCATAAGTGGAATCACTAGCTTAAAGGAAATGTGCATTTTAATCTGGAGGGATATTGCTAACTATTCAACTTCATTCTTAGGGTCACAGCTGGGACGAACTTTAAAGATTATCCTGTCCAAGTTTTTTTTTTTTTTTTTTTTTAATCTCTTCCATTTGCCCTTAAAACAGTCGAGTTGGCTGGGCACAGTGGCACACTCCTGTAATCCCAGTGGCTCGGGAGGCTGAGGCAGGAGGATCATGAGTTCAAAGCCAACCTCAGCAACTTAGTAAGGCCTTAAGCAAGTTAGCAAGACCCTGTCTCTAAAATATAAAAAAGGACTGGGGATGTGGCTCAGAGGCTAAACACCCTTGGGTTCAATCTCCAGTGCCAAAAAAAAAAAAAAAAATCAACAGAACAAAACAAGAAAACAGTAAAAGTTGGCAGCAGCTGCCTTGACCAGGGGAAAATAAGGAGGAGGAGGTGAGGAACAGGAGTCGGAGAGAGCACAGAGAGCTGCAGAACCTGTGTATCCAACTTGGCTTCTATTTTATGTACTTTATGTGATAAGATCCTGAGCTTTGTTTGGCAAAAGAGGTCTGCTGCTTAGCAACAGCTTCGAACACTAACCTGATGTTACAGCTGGAGACACTGAGGCCAGAGAGCGCGCATCATAAAACCAAGACTGGACCCAGTCTTTTCCGTCTCGGTGGAGTCCTAGCTCCATGCCAGTCCTCATGTGTGGGGTCACTTGGCCTCCCGCTTCCTATTTTGGGGAGCTCTCCACTCCCCTGGCAACCTACACATTGGGGCAGTGCAAAAGTTCTGCCTTTGTTGGTCCAAGTTTGCCTCTTGGAAGTGTTCGGTCCCAGCACCATGACCAGCAGTGGGCTTTAAGGAGCAGGGCCTCGATTGCAGGAGACTGAAGAAGGTCATGATCATCACYTTCCTGTCACCAAATGGGCATTCAGACATTCTTGCCTGGGTCAGGAATTCTCTGAGCCTGGACGTATCTACATTTAAATATCTAGGACGGAAATGACACAGCAAAAAGTCAGCTGGTGGTAGGTGTGGAGGAGAAAGGGGGCCAGAGCCACGGAGGCCCCCTGTGTGGAGGCTGGCTGGGTGAAYTATGATTCTAAATGGATGGGAACCTCTGTTCACCTTCCCCTCCCTTTTCTGGACTCTAGCAGCAGTCTTTATCTCTTTCTTCTTGCACTCCAAGTTCAGATCCCCTTGGAAAAGGTCCCATCCCTCTTCTCAGCCTCAGATCCCAGCTCCCTGCCTGGCTTCTGTCAGCTGGTTGCACAGAGAAGCACACTGAATTCTGAGGGTCAGCTGAGGACAGTGATCACCAGAAGCTAGGAGTGAGCACCCTCAGAGGGAGGCATGGCAAGCTGRGTGCTTCCTGAAAACCACAGGGCAAGTGACAGAACAAGATCTGGGAGTCCAGTACTCCCATGCCCCGGGCATGTAACAAATCCTGTGTATTCTTTTCCCTCTAAAACAACAACATCAAAAAACAGCAAGATCTCTCTCATGGTCACACTCCTTTTGAAGTTCTGTCTTTCACCCTTCATGTACTATTTTTCTATCTATTTTGCCAGGAAATTAACTTTTACAAGGTCATTGACTACATCCTGCATGGCAAAGAAGACATCAAAGTAATTCCGTAAGTTTCATCTCAAAACAAGCAGAATTGTGGGCACCTTACCTACGTCCATAGGATACTCATTCCYGGATGAACACCAATCCATCCAACGTAGCCAGGCTCTTGGTTAGAGGCAGAGAAAGCAGTGGAGGCATTGTGGAAAGGTAATGACGCAGGGTGGGAGATGAGACCTGATAGGGGAAGGGATTTGATCCAAGKCGCAAGGGGCCAGTTGTTAATCAGGGGTTCTGAGTTCCAGGCTCACAGCCAGTGTCAATAAGTAGCCTGTAGGGGCCTCAGTTTCCCATCTATGGAATCAGTGTATGGGATCAAGTCAGGGTGTGYTCTTTTCTCTCCTTCCCTGTCTGTCTTTCTTTTGTTTGTTTGGTTTTTTTTTTTTTTGCAGTCTAGGGGATCAAACTCAGGGCCTCCCATATGCAAAGCAAGCACTCCAGCATAAAGTGGCATCCCTAGCCCTTTTAATTTTATTTTGAGACAGCGTCTTGCTAAGTTACAGGAGTGTGCCCCGACACCTGGCAGATCAGGATTTTTCAGTAGTTTTCCAAGGAGCTGCTTCTGGGGTCCAAGAATGGAGAGCAAAAGCAAGATACTGGCAAAGAAAGTGACTCAGCCCGAAGGAAAGGTTATTTTCTAGTGTTCTCTTCAAATGTGACCAAGAAGGATAATGAAGAGGACAGGAAAGGACTCTGTAGAACCTGATTGTGGGTAGCAGGGACTCAAAGACCGTTGAAAAATTGAACAGTACACTCCTGTAATCCCAGCCACCCAGGAGGYTGAGGTTTGAGGATCACAGTCAAGGCCAGCCTGGGCAATTCAGCGAGATCCCGTTTGAAAATAAAAAAAATAAAAAGGGCTGGGAGTGTAGCTCTGTAGTAGAGCACCCCTGGGTTCAAAACTCAGGAGCGTGAAAAGAAAAAAAGAGTTAAACATTGGCAGCCCTTTGTAGCATAGGCCTGAACTCTTGCCTGCAGAGCATTTGCAAAAACTTTGTCACCTTCTTATCTATTTGAATCCTCTCCTTGYTCCAGGATCCACACCCACAGAGCTGTCTTGAGACAGGGCTCTCTTTCTCAACGTAATTGCTGGCTCCTTGAGGCTGCAGTCAAGCTCTGTGAGAGAGTCGTGCCTTTTGTCTCTTTCCCCTGACCTCTAGTTCACCTGAAGGGACTGACTCTATATTGTCCTAATCCTCAAACCAATCCTCAAACTGTGGGTGTAATTGGAAACGCTGATTGTACYCTGGCCACCAGACCAAAACTAACRATTTTTTATCTTTTGCTAGTTGAGGATGAGAAGTTGTGTCAAGTTCGGTTTCTAGGTTTTTTTTTTTCTATTATCTTCCATTCCTGCTTGAGTAAGAACTGACTCTGATTCTGGTCTGAGCTCATCTCTTCTTTTTAACCTTGTCAAATGCATATTCATCTGCCATTCTGTTTTCTAACCCCTTTTCTAGAATTACAAGTTTATTAAAACTCATTCCCTGGGTTGGAAATGATCAACGGTCAGTAACTAGCTCCCCGATGTTTTATCATCGCTTGTCAAGTATCACATCTGACTAACCTCTGTTAGCATTACCTTGTCTTCCACTAAAGTAACCTATTTTAGACTTTTTTTTTTTAAATGGCAGTATTCTGTTTCTAATACTTTTTTTCCCCCTTGGCTAAACTTGGTATTGAATCCAGGGGTACTCTGCCACTGAACTACATTCCCCAGTATTTTGTTTGTTTTTTGAGACAGGATCTTGCTAAATTACCCAGGCTGGTGTGAATTGCAATCCTCCTGTGTCACCCTCCTGAGTAGCTGGGATCACAGGTATGCACCACCGTGCCTGCCTAATATAAATTTTTGAATCAGTAGGATAGGCTACGTTGTGCTGTGGTAACAAGACCTTGAGATCTCCGTGGTATAAATAACAGAGTTTTATTGTCCCATCCCCTGTGTCGCCATTGCCATTTGGTGGGTGTGGTTGGAGCTATAATGCATGGAATTGTGGTCAGGCAGGGACCAAAGCTGATATATCAGCCACCATTTTGAACCTTGAAGGTTCAAACCCAGAGGAAAGAGAGAAATGAGGAAACACCCTGGTTTGTAAAGTGTCCATCTGAAGGTGACACATCACTTCCACTCACTCACATTTCAATGGCCAAAGCCAGTCACATAGTCATATTTGACTTCAAGGGACAGACAGTACAACCCGACTATGTGCCCAGAAGAAGGACAGCCAGGATGTTAATAAATACTCTGAATGGCTCACAGCATATGCCACCCACACTAACAGAGGGAAAACTGAACAGTAAATCAATAATTCATCTAACCAAAAGAAGGCCAAATATGGGTTTAGGAAAAAACAGAAAGGTAGGAAAAATAGAAAGTACAAGTAAAATTGATATTTAAATCCAAATGTAGCAATAGTTTCTTTAACTATAAATCAACTAGATGTTCCAGATATAGAATAAAGATTGACAGACTGGATAAGGAAAAAACCTATTGCATTTCATTGATTCTGAGAGGCACAAGTTTCTACTTTTTGACATTTATGAAGCAAAATCAATGATGTTGTACAGTTGCTGTGAGCCATGCAGCAGTCTCCACATAGTTATCTTTGCCTGTGTATGTGTGAACTTGGTCATAAGCATATATAACTTCACTTGAGTTAGTGTTGAGCAACCACTACTGGATGCTATCCACAGGGAATTTAATTGCTACATAAAGTAATAGGAAGAGCTGGGTGTGGTGGTGCATGCCTGTAATCCCAGTGACTCAGGAGGTTGAAGCAGGAGGATTTCAAATTCGAAGCCAGTCCTGGCAACTTAATGAGGCCCTAAGCAATTTAGGGAGACCCTGCCTCAAAATAAAAATAAAATAAAAAGGGCTGGGGATACAGCTCAGTGGTTAAGCACCCCTGGGTTCAATCCCTGGCACCAAAAGAAAAGAAAAGAAAAAAAGTATCTGGAAGAGACAATGCTATGAACCGGGTACAGTAACATATGACTAATTCCAGTCACTCAGGAGTCTGAGACAGGAGGATCCTAAGTTTGAGGCCAGCCTGGGAAACTTAGAGAGATCTTATCTCTAAATAAAAATATTTGGAGATGTAGCTCAATGGTAGAGCACCCCTGGGTTCAGTCCCCCATACTGAAAAGAAAATGATTTTGCTCTAGGGGTATTAAAACAAAAGTTGTCTTGAATGGCACAGGAAAAATAAAATTACAAGTGAAAAGCACTACAATGCAGATCAATCAGCAGCATTTTTTCTTTCTCCGTCACACACAAAAAATTGGTTCCTAAAAAATGATTATTTCCAGTGGACAAAGTGGTGTATACCTATAATTATGAGGAAGTTAAGGCAGAAGGATCACGGGTTCAAAAACAGCCTGGACAACTTATCAAGACCCTGTCTCAAAACAAAAAGGACTGGAGAGGAGATGTATCTCAGTAGTAGAGCGCTTGCCAGCATATGTGAAGCCCTGGTTCAATTCCTAGTCTCTCTCTCTCTCTCTCTCTCTCTCTCTCTCTCTCTCTCTCTCTGTCTCTGTCTCTCTCTCTCTCTCTCTCTCTCTCTCTCTCTCTCTCTCTCACACACACACACACACACACACACATATTACTTCCTAGATATGATGAAATACCATATACCCTGTCCAGTACTGGGGATTGAACCCCGGGGACACTCTACTACTGAGCTACATACACCCCTGCCTTTTTATTTTTTATTTTGGGACAGGGTCTTGCTAACTTGCTCAGGCTGGCCTCAAACTTGGGATCCTCCTGCCTCAGCTTCCTAAGGCTGGGATTATAGGCATGTGCAAATGTGCCTGGCTATAGAAGACTTATCGGAAGGATAAGAATAAAGAAGTTGAAAATAAAAGCTTAAAAAAATACATCATATGAATGCTAACCAAAAGAAAACTGGCAGAGCTAAAATTATGCTGCTTTTTTTTTTTTTTTAATGCTAGGAATTGAACCCAGGGACTTGTGCATACACTAAGCATGCCCTTACCACTGAGCTGCAATTCAGCTCTGGTGAAACTATTTAATATGAAATTAAAAAAGATGTTATACTGAATAACATTAATAGAGATAAAGGTAGTCCCTTTTTAAAAAAAATTAGTTGTAGATGAACACAATACCTTTATTTTATTTATTTATACGTGGTGCCGAGGATTGAACCCAATGCCTCACACATGCTAGGCAAGTGCTCTACCCTTGAGCCACAACCTGCACCCAGATAGTCCCTTCTTAATAATAAAGGGATCAATCCACTTTGATCATACAGGAAGACATTATACTTCTAAATCTGCATATATCTAAAAATATAAAGCAAAAACTGACCAAAAAACAAGAATATATAGACAAATACAGGTTCATTAGTCACTAGGAGGAGAGTAGGACAGTGTATACAATATCTGTGTAGCACAGATAGCAAACATAACCTAATGCATCTATAGAGAACATTGCTCCCAAACTCCCAAAGTATAGAACACTCAGTTTTTTTCAAGCATATAGGCAATGTTTACAATATTTGCTTATATACTGATCCATAAAGCAAACCTTAATAACTTTCAAAAGATTGAAATCATACTGGGAATGTCCTTTGCTCATAATAAAAATATGAAAGTCCAGTTACAAAAAAATAATCACAATCTGGGTGCAGTGGTGCACACCTGTAATCCCAGTAGCTGGGGGTTAAGGTGAGAGGATGGCAAGTTCAAGGCCTGCCTCAGCAACTTAATGAGACCCGTCTCAAGAAAAAAGACTGGCGATGTAGCTCAGTAACAGAGCATCTGTGGGTTCAATCCCTTGTATCTCAGAAAGCACAAACACAAACAAAAAATAATCGGTAATGTGCTGGGGTTGTGGCTCAGCAGTAGAGCGCTCGCCTAGCACGTAGGGCAAGAGCCCTACCACTGAGCTAATCCCCCAGCGCAGTGACAAATACATTTAAAAAAGAAACTCCATTTCATTAATTTTGCAGAGGAATGAAAAAGAGAACCACAATGTGTCACCATTAGAATCCACCAGAAGGGTTATGATTTAAAAGCATGGAAATACTAAGTACTGGCAGAGACTTAGAGCAAAGGTAACTCCAACACCCCCTGGTGGGAGTGTCAATCACTTTGGAAAGCAGTTTGACCTTTGAAGAGATGCACAATTTTTTTTTCCAATCCTGGGGATTGAACCCAGGTGTACTCTGCCACTGAGCTGCCTCTCCAGCTCTTTTTATTTTTATTTTGCTATAGGGTCTTACTAAGTTGTCAAGACTACCTTCAAATTTGTGACCTCCTGCCTTAGCTTCCCACATCACTGAGATTACAGGCATGCACCACCATACCCAGCTGAGGTATGCACATCTTATGACCCAGTATTTCTACTCCTAGGAATCTGCCATATAAAATTGAGAGCATATACTTATTGGAGTGTTCATAGAGGCACTGTTCACATTATCTGTTTACATTGGCAGAGGAGATGCCCATCAACCCTTGAATGGATAAATTGTTCTATTGTTCTCCATGGGGAAATTGCATGTCAATAAAATGAATGAATTATAGCAATATGAAAAAGAAGCCAACCAGGTGTGGTGGCAGGAGAATTACAAGTTCAAGGCCAGTCTAGGCAACTTGTCTTAAAATAGAAAATATGAAGGACTAGGGATGACTTAAAATAGAAAATATGAAGGACTAGGGGTGTAGCTCAGTGGTAGAGGCCCTTGGATTCAATTCCCAGTTCTGCAAAAGAAGAAGATAAAGGAAAATGAGAAGGATCCAGATAGAATAAAATAATTATACATTGTGTAATTCTATCTAAATGAAGTTGGAAAACGGGCAAAATCAAATTAGAAGGTATAAGACATCATACTTAGGTGGTACAACTACAGAAAAGCAAGAATGTAATGATCATGCTAGAATAATTATTACGTTTGGGGTTAGGGAGAAGGCTATGATTGGGAGGGGCATGTCAGGGATCTCCAAGGTGCTGAGAATGCTGTTCTTGACATCTATATGGCTTCATATGTATTTGTATTCTAATGCTCAATGAATTTTAATGCATTTTTCTCTGCATACTTTTCTCCCAATAAACAATCAAAAAGTAATGAAATTATGCATCACTTAAGAAAGGGGACACATTTATTTATTTGTTTAGTTGCTTATTGTACGGAGATTAAACCCAGGTGTGCTCTACCACTGAGCCACATTTCCAGCCTTTCTCATTTTTATTTTGAGATAGCCTCTCTCTAAGTTCCGGAGCCCATCCTTAAACTTGCAATCCTTCTGCCTCAGCCTCCTAAGTTGCTGGGGTTACAGGTGTGTACCACTGCATGCAGCTAGGAAGGGGACACGTTTTGAGAAATGCTGGGCAATTTTGTCATGGTGTGAACATCAAAGAGTGTGCTTACACAAACTAAGATGGCTATGACATCATTAGATGATATGATCTTATGGGACTTTGTTCATATGTGTGGTCCACTGTTGACCAAAACATCATCATTTATGACACATAACTATAGTACCAAAAATTATAATATTATTATTATCTCCACCAAATATAAAGCATTTAGTTAGTCACTAGTGCCTGGCAGGAGCTCACTATAGATGAATTTTCAACTCTCTATATAGTATGAAGCTACTAACTCCATGAGGAAAGTGATGGTTTGTGTTTTTGCTCAGCAGTCAATAATAATCTGTGAAATGGATGTTGTCAATTTTCTTGGGTCCCCAAAAGTCCCTACATTGAACTTCACCATTTGTCTTTACAGGAATCCACCACCTGACCACTGGGCTTTAGTAAGTGGTCTCCCCACTTACGTTGCCCAAAATGGCCTGGTAAGTAACACAACTTGAAAAGGGGAAAAGTTTGATTAAGATGAAAGAATGAAAGGATTTCAGATGGAGCAAGTGGGAAAAAATGGGGGGGGGCAGGGAGTGTGGATCTCCAAAGCCCGAGTCTCTTGTTTTTCAATTTACTCAATAGAGGGTCCCTAGAGATAAACAGAGAATTGACATTTGGGCAAATAGGAAACGCAGAGAAATAATCTTTAGATGGAAAGATGGTCACTGACAAATGCGTCAGGGACAAAGTCATGACTGGGTGGTCTACCAGGCTCCCCAGGGACTAAGTCTCAATCTCTCATGTCAGACTTAATTGCCATTGTCCACCTCCCATCCCCACGTTTCCAGCCATGTCACACAAAGCAGAGCTCCAGAGCTTTACTCCCACCTTGCCCCATTCACTAAGGCCAAGGGTGAAGCAGTGGTGTCCCCTGCGCCTGAGAGCAGGGTCACGTCTGCTGCACATCACCCCCATATTTGGTCCTGGTCACGCCTATATCCTTCCCCCAGAACATACTACACAATGGTGCCCCTGTGGCAAGGTGTTTATTTATTGAGCATTTTCTATTCCAGACACTGTCATAGGCTCTGAGGATGTAAAGGTAGATGGATCAGGATGTACTGTTTCTCTTCTGAAACTCATAATCGAATGAGGAGATGCCTTTATTAACAGATATTTATACTGCGATGTGATAAAGCCACGATAGAGGATACAGAATAGGGGACATATAAACCAGTCTTCATTTCCTAGAGTGTGTTGGTCTGAGTTGAATTTGAAATCATTAGTTCTTAGGCAGGTGGGGGCAGGAAACAGGATTCCAGGTAGAGGAAACATCATGGGTGTTAGTCAACTCTCCATTATTGTAACAAAACCCTGAGATAATCAGCTTATAAAAAGGAGAGTTTTATTTTGGTTTCAGTCCATGGTTGGTTGGCTTTGTTGCCTTGGGGCCTCTGGTGATGCGGAACATCATGGCGGAAAGCTTAAGGTGGAGCTAAGCTGCTCACCTCATGGCCAGGAGGCAAAGAAGAGAAAGAGGAGCGGTGGGTCCCACAATCCCCTTCAAGGACACACCCTCCAATGTCCGTAAGACCTCTCACTAGGTCCCACCTCTTCCCAATAGTTTCCACCACTTCCTAAGATCCCTGAGTTGAGGACAGAGCCTTTAGTATATTGGCCTTTCAGTCCATATCCAAACTATGGACAAGCAACATGGGCATAGGAGTTTGGAGCAGCACACTGTGTGCAGTTTAGTGTTGCTGCTGTGTTAAGTTTGAGACAGCAAGACAGGGGACTCGAGAGGGAGAGAGAGGCCAGATAACAGGCTTTGGATGCCATGTCCAGCGGGTAGGACTTGAATCTACGGTCATGGCTTTTAAAGCAGGAGACCAGTACAGCTGCTTTTCATCTTATTTGTTTGGATCTTATTGTTGTTGTTTGCAATACCAGAGGTTGAACTCAGGGCTTGGTGCATGCTAGGCAAGTGCTGTGCCACTAAACTACCTCCCCAGCCCTGCTTTTCATTTTAGCAGGATAATGCTGGCAGGTCCATAGAAAATGGATCAGAAGAACTAGGACTGGAGGCAGAGTGACCAGTGCATGATTCAAGTAAGGGATGATAAGAATGTCAACAAATGCAGGCACCATGAAGAATACTGTCATCACTGCCCATGGCCATCTACGTAGTGCTACGATGAGGCACCACATAGATGTTCTCCTTTAATACAACATTCAACAAAGACAAGATGAAAAGGAGATAAGGGGCTGACCTGAAATCCAGAGGGCAAAACTGGCAGGACTTCGCCTTGGTGGGGAGCAGAGAGGATGGAAGAGAAAAGAGTCAGAGCTCATTTTAAGCTTCCAGACTGAGAGTGCTGCCATCAGGTTTGGATGTAAAATGAGGAGGTCAGTTTTAAACAAGGTGAGATTGAGACATTCTTCAGGAGGAAGTGATCAGCAGGTAGATGAAGCTATGGAGAGAGAGGAAGGGTGGATTAGGAAGCTATCAGGACCGGGTAGTATTTGAAACTATGGTGTTGACAACACCCAGGGAGATGTGAGGAGCAGTGGGTTCCCAGGGTGCAATATTGGAGGATTTCAGAATTTCCAGAGCAGGTGGAGAAAGGGGTGTATGTAAAGGGGGGAAGCAGGAGGAGAATTCAGAGGTGTTTGCAGACTCAGGAGAGGCAGTCATGGAAACCAAAGAAGTAGAAAGTTTCAACAAGGAGAGAGACCATCCAGGTGTGGTGGTGCACATCCATCCTCCCAGCTACTCAGAGGCTGAGGCAGGAGGATTCCGAGTTCAAGGCCAGTCTGGGCAGTTAATTCAGAGGGATGATGAGAGGATGAAGAAAAGACAAACAGACACACATAGAGAAAAATCTGGGGCCAGGTGGTTTAAGCCATGGCCTGGTGAGGCTTGTTTGACACCAGAGCTAGCTCAGCACATTTATTATACAGGTTTTGTCTTCAGAAGGTTATTTGTGAGACAGTTTCAGCAGAGCAGGTAGTCTGAAGGATGCAACGAAACTTGGGAGACATGGAGGTCATCTTGTTATGCCCAGAATTCTCTACCCCTGGGAGTTGGTGTCTGAATCCAAGATTCTGACTGTTAGAGCCACACACCTTTGCACATAGCCACCCCTGGCCGGCATTACCATAGCAACTGGGGAACCTTGACCTGCACCTTTGCACAGTCAGCTCCCAGGGCAAAGGCAGCCATAAGGGAATCAGGGACCAGGGTGATTTGAACCACCCTGGGAACCCAGAGTCTCACTCTCCACAGTGAGACTCTGTCTAAAATAAAAAGGGCTGGGGATGTAGCTCAGTGGTACAGCACTTGCCCCATATGAGCACATGGATTCAGACTCCAATGCAGAAAGAAAAAAAAAAAAAAGGAAAAGAGAAAGAAAGACAGGCAGATAGACCAAATGCAGCACAGTGATCTGGTGAGACAAGAACTGAAGGCCCCATCATATTTGTCAATTAAGAGGTTTTGGTGGCCCCGATGAAAGCAAATTTGGTGGCAAAGTGGAGGCAGATACTAGCATGTGGTCCACTGAGGAGTGGCATGCAGTAAAAGGTAGAGAAGGCAAGAGAAAGAGGGAGAGTACCTGTGGGTGGTTGCTATAGAGACCACGCTGTGTGAGGGAAGCATTTTGAGGATGGGAGATACACAAGCTGGCTCATGGGCTGAGGGAAAAGGGCCCGAGGAGAGGTTGCTGATCAGGAGGGAACAATGGGAACGGATGGACCAGGTCCAAGGAGAGGCTGGAGGATGATAGAGTGAGTAGGCAGTCCTTGGACAGGAGCTGGGCAGCTCAGCCTCTGACACCAGACAGTCCACATCTGTGTTGATGGGCAGGGTTGCTGCAAGCCCATGTAGTAGCCTTTGAGAAGTAAAAGCAGGCCCTCTTCTCAAGGGAAGACTACAGTGAGAACCCAGGCTGGATCTCAGGGCCAGCCACCCCTCAGCAGGTGCAGTGTGTACACTACCCAACTGCAATGGTGGCCAGCCGCAGGAGGGATCAGATAAGTGTCATATGGTTCCTTTTTTATTCTCTCCTTTTCAGAAGAGAAATCTAGCAATGTAGAACCCAAATTACAACACCTGCCATTTCTTGTTCTACTCTGAGGTTTCTACCCCAAGGAAAAATGCCTTCCTGCCCAAGAAAGCAAAACAGAACCCCAAATGTACATGAATCAAATATGTTTTGCATAGCACTGTTTCAGTTTAGAAAAAGCAACCCAAATGCTCAACAAAAGAGGAACGGCAAAATGAGACACTATTAATAACGGCAGCTTGTATCCTTAATTTTTGCAAAGTTTAGAAATAATTCGAGGTGGAGCCAATCCTGAGAAGTAAGGTTTACAAGGGGACTTTTCTTTCCAGTATCCTCTGTTAATAATCCAAAAGGATCTCTGGTGTAGCTACCTGTGAAAAAAAATGTGAATGCTGTTGGCAAGGACATGGTGTTTGTGAAAAGAGCAGGCCCTTTACTACGTGCCCCTCGGGGCTAATGGCAGTCCCTCTTCCCTCCACTGCTTTTAGATTTGCAATATCATGAATGCACCTGCCGAGGACCTTTTTGCATTTCAGGTAAGTCATTTTGGATTTGTTCTCTTAGTCACATGACTTTCCTCTCCATTCGAATCCACCTGCTTCCTTGGGTAGCCATCTAAATGGAGTGAAACCAGGATGGAAAAAAGCCATGTGCTAGTGGAGGTGGGGAGGGAGCTGGCTGGGCCAATTCCAAGATCTTATTCTATTTCAACACTCGCACTCTTTGCCTTCTGGCCTCAGGACCTTCACTTAAGCTGTTCTCTCAGCCACCACCCTCTCCTGTCCAAATTCCCCGTGTCCTTCAGTAACAATCTCAAATGCTACCACTTCTATGAAGTTTTATTCTGATTTTTGTGGCTGTGTATAATTTCTTTTTGAAAAGTGCATGGAATATCGTTTAGCATTCCATTCGGCTTTGGCTTTTATCATGTAAGAAATGCTGGTGGAAGCCATCTTCTGGGCCAGGCTTTGACACAATGCTACTCTGGCTACCATAGTGGATCAGAGAGACCTGGTGGTTGTCTTCATGGGGCTCATAAGAGAGACACCTGAGTCATGGTCTGCCGCGACCCCTCGCCAGCAAAGGAAACACRACACAGGATTCTTCCTTCAACAGTTTATTCAGGCCTTTGTTTTGACATGTCTTTTAGCTTGTTTCTCTCCCTACTCCCGTGTGCCCCAGCCTTAATAAAGCAGATAAAGCCCCAATGCACAACTGCCACGTGGACTTTTCCCATAGGGTGCCAAGTCACAGTGTGCCAACTCATTCTGATAAGGAGTTGTTTGTCACAGACTACAGCAGAGACCAGCGCCATCTTGTAATGGCGGCCGCAGTACACAGAAAAGGCTCACCACAATGGTCAGTAGAAATGTAGGGGCTAGCCTGGTGCAGTGGCACAGGCTTGTAATCCCAGCAGCTCGGGAGGCTGAGGCAGGAGGATCATGAGTTCAAAGACACCCTCAGCAACCTAGTGAAGCACTTAGCAACTTGGTGAGACCCTGTCTCTAAATAAAATATCAAAAAAGGGCTGGGGATGTGGCTCAGTGGTTAAGCACCCATGGCTTCAATCCCCAGTACCAAAAAAGAAAAGAAGGAAGGAAAGAAGGAGGAAAGGAAAGAAGGAAGGAGGGAAGGAAGGAAGGAAGGAAGGAAGGAAGGAAGGAAGACAGAGGATAGAGAATGTGGAGAGGAACTCTCAGAAGCCCTGACCTGACCTGAGAGAAATCAAGGAACATGTCCTTGAGGAAATTATTTGTGAGTAAGGAGAGGGGAGAAGCCTGCAGCAAAGAGACGGATAACTGGAAGGGATAGCGTTGGCCAGCAAGTAAGAGACTGAGAAGGGTGTGGCAGAAGCCGATTCTAGAGAAGTGGATAAAAAACAGATCACACCAGGCCTGGAAGGGCAGACCAAAGGGGAATTTGTCTCTCTTACTATTTCCCCCTTATTTCATTTTTTATTATCCTTAGTTTTGCCTTGGACTAATTTCTGCCAGTATAATATTGGCTTTCTTGGATCAAGGAAGGGTTGGTTCTTACCTTTCTTGACATCCTCAGCTCTAGATGTCTTGTCAATGTTCTTTGGGTTGAGCATGCCAACCACAAGAAAAATCATTAGCAATCAGGACATAATTAAGAAGGAGATAAAAATCATGCAAGAAAAATCTGTGCTTTTTTTTTTTTTAACTTTCCAGTTTATTGAAATACAAATAACAAGTATCATCTCACCACCTTAAGAATCTTGACATAGGGCTGGGGATGTGGCTCAAGCGGTAGCGCGCTCACCTGGCATGCGTGCGGCCCGGGTTCTATCCTCAGCACCACATACAAACAAAGATGTTGTTCCACCGAAAAACTAAAAAATAAATATTAAAAATTCTCTCTCTCTCCCTCTCACTCTCTCTTAAAAATAAATAAATAAATAAATAAAGTATAAGAACTCTATGCTGAGTCTTGAAATTTGCATAGTTTAAAAAAAAAAAAAGAATCTTGACATTTCAGAAATGGAAGATACCTACTCCAGGAAGCCTTCCTTGACTTCTGTCTTTGCTCTGGCTCCCAGGGGACATAAAATACCGCACTGCAGTGACATTGCTGGTTTACTTTACGGAAGATGAGCCACCTGAGGAACATCTGCCTTACTTGCCTTGGTTTCCCCAGCTGGTAGCTTGGTTTCTTGTACATTGTAAATATTGATGAATCAGTGAAAATAGAATCTAGAAATGAGTCACGTTATCTCTGTTTGATAATGATGAAAGCAAGGCTCCCCACAGGCATCCTCAGCTGACCAAGAACCTCATTGCTTAGCAAGGCACACACTCTTCCCCATCTGTATGTAGGTAGGAAAATCAAGGCCTAAGGAAATAAAATTCCAAGCCAAAATTACACAGAAAGTCAGGCCAAGGGCAAAGAGTTAGAGGATATAGCCAGGTGATTCATTCAAAATTACGAAAACCACCAGCATTTGGTTTTTCAGTGCTGGGGGTTGAACCCAGCGGCTCTTTACCACTGAGCCACACCCCCAGAGCTATTTATTTATTTATTTTTTTGTTTTGAGGCAGGGTCTCACTAAGTTGCTGAGACTGGCCTTGAACTTGTGATCCTCCTGCCTCAGCCTCCCAAGTGGGATTACAGCGTGCGCCGCCATAACTGACCCAGAATTGTTCTCTGAAGCCAGCCAGTGCCCTCTGGTTTTCTCCTATATATGAAAGAGAACTACGCTCCCTGGCATGTTTCTGCACATTATTGTATCCCTGGCACACAGTCCACTGCCAGGCACCTACAGCCCTGAGCTCTTAGGGACGGAGACAATGTGGCTACCTGGTTTTGTATCAGGCACTCCACCAGATGGGCTGTTGGTTCAGGCTTCTGTGGCTGATACTAAATCCATACAAAATCCAGCCAGCGCCACCCTCTTGCCAACCCCTCTCAGCCAATCAGGGTCACCCCACAGCCCAGAGTCCATCACAGCTGCCTACACAGCCCAGACCCAGAAGAGAACCTAAGATCTGCCCCTCTCTTTAGAAAGAGCCTTTGGATGATTCTGGATGGATGATCAAAAATGTCCTTTCAATGCCGATTGTGAACAAGAAGGAAGAAATTGTTGGGGTGGCCACGTTCTACAATCGCAAAGATGGGAAGCCCTTTGATGAAATGGACGAGACCCTCATGGAGGTATGGCGTGCCGGGAGGTCCTTGCAGCTGGGATTCAGAGTCTGCTTGCGGCCAGGTGTGGCTTTCAGAGCTGCACATTGCGACAGGAAGGCCACCTGAGGCAGCCTCGACCACCACCTTCTTTACTCTCGCTTCTGCCCCACATGTCACCAGAGAGATCCACATTCTGCTTTCTGTAAAATTTTATTTATTTATTTTTATATACGTATAACAGCGGGATGCATTACAATTCTTATTACATATATAGAGCACGATTTTTCATATCTCTGGTTGTATACATAGTATATTAAACACCACATATTAGAGCAGTTTTAGGTCCATAGAGAAATTGAGCAGAAAGTACAGAGTTTGTATATAGTCCCCACATAGGCAAAGAAGGGTCCCTTTTTGGGAAGCTTTTACATATAAAAATGATGCTTAATGTCTATTAGTGCTTTAAGAAGGCGCATTCACACCGTTGTTTTACCCTGTAATCACAACAGCTCTGCATGGTGGGCAGCACACAACCCCTGTTATAGCCCAGTAAAAAGAGTCCCAGGGGAGTCTTGCTCTAAGAGTCAGGATCAAAGCTGGGTGTTCTGTCTGATTCTTCCTTTCTTTCTTTTCAGTCTTTGACTCAGTTCCTAGGCTGGTCTGTCTTGAATCCCGACACCTATGAATCTATGAACAAACTTGAAAATCGGAAGGATATTTTCCAAGACATTGTAAAATATCATGTAAAGTGTGACAATGAAGAAATTCAGAAAATCTTGGTACGTAATATTCTTTACTTGTTTTCATCTTAGTAGAGACTAGCAGAGTTGAAGTGAGACTTGAAGTCCACAAAGGCACAGCTTGGGTGTGGGTTCGCTCAGCCATGTCCCTCCAGCTTAGCACAGAGATGTGGCAGCCCTCAGATGATGGATGGATGAGTGCCCAGAAGGTGGTGCGTACTAACAATCTTTGTGGCCTGAAGACAGGTATCCCTTGCAGGATCATCTCAATCTGGGGCCTGACCCTGGCTTAAGAGCTTCTAGAAACTCCACTTTTCACTGTATCCAGTGTTGACTTGGAGACAAGATCAACCAACATAGCCCCTAATATGAGAAGAAGATTTATCTGATAGACCAATGGACCAGGGTCAGTTTCTCAGAGCCTCACTCTTTGGTTAGCTCACAGAAGACCCAAGAAAGTCACAGAAGAGTTTAGTGTGCAAAGAAGTAGTTCACAGTGAATAATAAGTCCTCGCCACTTTACATTTTATAAAGCAAATTCACATTTGGGCTCTTTTTTGATGCTTGCAAGTTATTAGTCCCATAAGATGGGCAGGATAAAGGTTTCTATTTTTATTGTATAAATGAAGAAATCAAGGCCTCCAAAGTGGAAAGAACTTGTCCCCAAATCACCTAGACTGTGAATATGTCTCACTTAACCTTTATCATAATAATGAATAAAATTCTCTACCTCTCTTATGAATGGGCTATCTCAGGAGGTGATGAGCACCCCAACACAAGAGTTATCCACATAAACACTGGATGACATGTATCGGGGATGCTGTAGAGAACATTGCTCCCTGGAGTGGGAAATTGGACTAGATGCTTTCATGGATATGTGAGAATTGTTGATTCATTGTTCCTGAGGTTTTGGTCTTAAAGAGACCAAGATCTTAATAGCACACTGAGTTAGCCAAATGGTATTGGCTATGATGCCCAGCCAAGCTCCCAAGACCTTGGCTTATAGATAGACCTCTCAAGTTGAAAAAAAAAAAAAAAAAAAAAAACAGAGGTCAGTATTCTCAAACGAAGTTTCTTAAGCTGGGAAAATAATGTAACAAATTGATCATTTAATACCAATAACTGGTATATTCAGAGAACAAAATATCCAGTTTGGATCATTTTCCTCATGGTTGGCTTGACTCAGTTCATAAGTTTCAGACAAATGATGGATATGTAGATCCTATGGAGGTGTAGCCTAAGTTAACCAGTTGAAAGCTAAGAGATTTTACTCTGGGCCAAGAAATCAGAAACAAATAACTGGGTCCAGGTTCCCTGCTCCTCTGGCATCTAGGGAATAAGYCCAGAGAGAGAAGAAACTAGCCTCAAGTCAACCAGAAAGAAAGTGCCGGGATCATGGCCAAGCCCTCCTTACTCTCAGTCAATAATTAAAACAATACAAATATAACAGAATTATTTTATTTTGGTGCATCCTATGTGCCACATACCATGCTAAGTGCTTAATATGCATTATTTAATTCAGTTGTGCATATTTTTTTTAAAAAAATGACTCTGTGGCTGGGGATGGTGGTACATACCTGTGATCCCAATTACAGGAGAGGCTGAGGTGGGAAGATCACAAGTCAGAAGCCAGCCTTTGCAACTGAATAAGACCCTATCTCATTAAAAAGTAAAGTAAAATAAAAGGAAAGAACTGGGATGTAGCTCAGTGGTAGAGGACCCTTGGGTTCAATCCCCAGTACTGGAAAAAAAAATAATAAAAATTAGAAAAAAAAATGACCTTGCACAATTGATATGTGCTGTATGTGCTACACTGTCCGATTGCACAAATTTTAACTTACTGGTTAAAGGCTTTAATTATCCCCATTTTATAGGTGAAGAAACTGAGCTTCAAAGGCATTTGATAATGCAGAGCTCAAATTTGGATGCAGGTCTCCATAGCGCCAAAGCCTGTGACTTTGAATTTGTTCACCAATGAATGTTGAATGGCAGTTTCTTTAAGTGGGTGGTTCTGATGCAAAGGAAGGGCAAAAATGGAAATGGAAAAGTGGAAGCATATCAAGTTTTCAATATAATAACATTTCTTTTTCTCTCCTGTTTTGGGGCCTGGCAGAAAACCAGAGAGGTATATGGGAAGGAGCCATGGGACTGTGAGGAAGAGGAGCTAACTGAGATCCTGGTAAGAGGAGCTGGAACAGAACAGGCCCTGATGTGTTATCTGCTCAGGGTGCTCCTGAGCGTGTGTGCGTGACTCTCTACAAAGCGTGTTCCTATCATTCTACTCTGATCCTCCCAGGACCCCAGGATGGAAACAGGGTGGTGGTGGGTGGCAGGGGGACCCAGGAACACTTCCTATCCCCTAATCCCTTGACTCCATTCCTTTTACAGCGGGGAGAGCTGCCAGATGTAGAGAAATATGAAATTAATAAATTCCACTTCAGTGACTTGCCCCTCACAGAACTGGAGCTGGTGAAATGTGGGATACAGATGTATTATGAGCTGAAAGTGGTGGAGAAATTCCACATTCCACAAGAGGTGAGATCAAAGCAAACATCTGTGATTTTCTGTTTTTTGGGTTTTTTTTTTCCCCTTGCTTAGGAAAAAATAAATAAATAAAGATCCCTCCATTTGTAAAGTACCTTTAAAAGAGTGTGCCCTCAGTGTTTGGGGTTTAAAGCAGTCGTCATGTTGCATGGTTGAATTTTTTATTAGAAAAGAGACACGCTGTTCCTCTGAACTTGGGATCTTCAGAGCTTTGGTTTCTTGCAGTGGGTTCCGAGCACTGCGTTCTGAAGGCAGGGAATAAATAGATATCTGACTGGGGTGGGAAACGTGGGCTAAATCCATTTTAATCAGGGCTCTTTCCCTGCAGGATTCCTTATGAGTGTTCACTGAGTCTGGGTGATGGGGACTGGCTAAGACAGTGGGATGGGAGGTATGCATGGTCTTCAGAGTTTCCCAGACTTTCATTAAATAATGGTTCTCAAAGTGTTGCTTCAGAGTACATCAGCACCATCTGAGAAGTTTCTCTCTCTCTCTCTCTCTCTCTCTCTCTCTCACACACACACACACACACACACACACACACACACCCCTAGAACCGATTTTAATAAGCCCTCCAAGGTAATTTTGATGTTCTCACAAATTGGAGAACCACAGGATTAAAGAACCCTTTTTGCTGCTGCTGCTGCTGCTGCTGCTGTGAAGCACCTGTTAGTATCTCTGAGGACAATTGCTCTCTGAGGCACAATTTGGGAATCACTGATGGACGCTCGACCCGCAGGATAAGGGGAATGATTCTCTCTTACTTTGTTTCTAGCAACAACAGACATCTTCATAGCATGGAGCAAAGTGCTTTCATAGCATTTCCGCATCTGTTGCTAGTTCCCACCTCCTAGTGTCTTCTAGCAATGGAGAGCCCTGGGCACCTGGGCAGGTGTGCACTGTCTCGCTGATGTGGGTGTATTCGCAGGCCCTGGTGCGGTTCATGTACTCCCTGAGTAAGGGCTATCGCAAGATCACCTACCACAACTGGCGGCACGGCTTCAACGTGGGACAGACCATGTTCTCCTTGCTGGTGGTAAGCAGGGCAGGCCTGGTCCGCAGGGTGAGAGGATCTGCCTGGGCTGTGGGCCCAGGTCATGTGGGACAACCTCATGCAGACTCCATATGGCAGTGACAGCATTGTTATCCTCTACTGCCTTTTAAGAATTCCAAAAGTAGTACATGCATAAAAGAATCCCAAGAATAAATAAATGTAACAAATAAAACATGATAGGAAGCTGCAGTCTATCCCAATCCTGGTCTGTTATTTGGAGATAACCAAGGCACAAGTCCTTCCAAATTTTCTTTTTGTATACACTTGTATACACACACACACACACACACACACACACACAGAGAAACATGCACACCATTTATTTTGTTCATAAGCAATGGGATATTATTCTGTTTTTCATTTGAAAATGTATATTATCACATTCTTCCATTTTATAGGTAAATCATACTCTTTCATTATATATGCATACATACATATAAAACACATTTTCTATTATATGCAACACACCAATTTTACCATTTTAATCAGTTTTGCATGTATGATTCAGAGACATCAAGTACATTCACAGTGTCGTACAACATTTACACTAAAACTTTTCATCGTTTCAAACTCTATACCCATTAAATAGTAACTGCAACTCTCTCTATTCTGCAGTCCCTGATAGCCCCTATTCTGTTTCCTATCTCTATGAATTTGACTACTCTAGGCCTTCATGTAAGTGGAATCACACAGTATTTGTTCTTTTCTGTCTGGCTTAATGTCTTCAAGGTTCATCCATGTTTTAATTTTACAACTGCATAAAATAGTCATCCTTGATATCCATGGGTTTTGTTTTTTTTCTAGGACTCTCCTCCCCACACATACTAAAATCTGCAGATGCTCAAGTCCCTTATATAATGGCACAGTATTTCCATATAAGCTGCACAATCCTCTTATACACATCAAATCATCTCTAGATCACATTTAGTACCTAATAAAATAGAAATATAAGTGGCTGGGCATAGTGGTGTGTGCCTGTAATCCCAGCAATTTAGGAGGCTGAGGCAGGAGGATCACAAGTTCCAGGCCAGCCTCAGTAACACGTAGCAAGGCCCTAAGCAACTTATGAGAATGTGTCTGAAAATAAAATATAAAAAGGGCTGGGGATGTGGCTCAGTGGTTAAGTGCCCCTGGGTTCAATTTTCAGTACCAAGAAAGAAAGAAAGAGAAAGAAAAGAAAAAAAAATGCTATTAAAAATAGTTATTATGTTGTAATGTTTAGGGAACAACTACAGAAAAAAGTTAGTATATGTTTAGTACAGACAGATTTTTTAAAATATATATTTTTGGTCTGTAGTTGGTTGAATCCACAGATGTGGAGCCCACAGGTGCAGAGACAGGGATGGTTTTTTGTTGTTGTTGTTTAAATATAGCATGATTTCTTCACCCAGCACCCAACTGTGGGTGTGGACATTGTTTTCAATCTTTGCTGTGACAAACAGTGCTACTGTACCTTTGGGGGACAGACCTTCATGCATTTGTATCAGTACTTTGGGCTCAGAGGGTTCCAGCCCATTATCCTTCATTGGAAAGGGTTCCCCATGCAGGGCATGACACAAGTCTGCTCGGGCTCACATTCCCTGTCCTCATTCCTTTCCCTTCAGGGCTGGAAATGTCAGGCCAGAGCAGGTGCTGGAACCCAGGGCAGGCATTCTAGCCAGGCCACTGCCAGAGGTGACAAGGACACAGCTTAAATCTGGTTTATTCAGTAGGATCAAAGTCAGCATTGCCTCTCCACAACCCTTCCCCAACCCTTCTCCAGCCTCTTCTCCAGCACCAGCAGGAACAAGGGTTAACTATGTGGAGAAGCCCCAGGAAAGGAGGATTCCTCCGGGCTGTGCTTAAACCAGTAGACCAGGTTTGGGAGGTTTGCTTTACCCATCTGGCCACTTTCATAAACTTTCCAAATCCTGAAACCGGATGGTTCCAAGTTTCTCAAAAATCATCCAGAGCAACACCCGTGGTCCACCCCCACTGTGCAGACTGGGATACTGAGGCCCAGAGGCGCATGAACCCAGCTAAGGTCACCTAGTAATAAGTGGCCAGTTCTCCCTGTTTGCCTGGGATCATCCCAGTTTCAGTATGGAAAGTGCAACTTCCTGGAAAACTCAGCCTGCGGTAAAGCTCTGCTCACCTCAAGGTCAGAACCATGTCGGTCAGCGCCAGGCTTTCCCCGCAATCTGCCCTCTCAGCCCTGCTTCCAGCCCCCACAACACAGGAGTGACTTGTACCTCTGATTGCCCTTCCAGACAGGAAAACTGAAGCGATACTTCACTGACCTAGAGGCCCTGGCCATGGTCACTGCTGCCTTCTGCCATGACATTGACCACAGAGGCACCAACAACCTCTACCAGATGAAGTGAGTTAGCCCTTACTGGCTCCCCGCCCCTCCCCAACCCTCACCCCAGGATTTATCACCTAGGTCTTTATGATCCCCGGGCTGGGTGACCAAGGAAAAGGCCCACTGTCCACATCTTCCCACTTCCTCTTGCCCTTGGGATCCAGCTCTACTCCTATGATAGACAGAATAATGGCCTCCTAAAGATGTTCACATCCCAAACCCCAGAGCACGGAAATATGTTATGTTGACTTACATTCAAAACAGGCTTGCAGCCAGGTGCGGTGGCTCACGCCTGTAACCACAGTGACTTGGGACACTGAGGAAACTCAGTGGAGAATTGCAAGTTTGAGGCCAGCCTGGGCAACTTAGTGAGACTCTGTGTCAAAATTAAGTTTTTTAAAGGGTCGGAAGTCAGTGGTAGAGCACTTGTCTAGCTTGTGCAAGGACCTGGATTTAATCCCTAGGGCTGGGGGAAAAAGAAAAGGTGGGAGGGGGACTTGGCTGATGTGGTAAAGGAACTTGAGGAATAGGAATGGTCTAGATGGATTCCTTATAGTCCAAAGGGTCCTTGTAAGAGGGAGGCGGAAGGTCAGAGAGGAGAGAAGATTCTCCCCTAGGGTCTCCAGAAGGAGGCCACCCTGTGGACCACTTTAGACTTCTGAACTCCAAATCTGAAAGACAATCCATTTTTGCTGTTTTCAGACATTAAGTCTGGGGCAGTTTGTTACAACAGCAATAGGAAACTAGGAGATTAAACTCCCGTGCTCTCCTCCTCCCCGTCCTACCTGCTGACCTAATCTGAGCCAAGATGTTAGTAACCGATAATGTTCATTCATTCACAAGTATTCATAATGCTTCTCATGTAGTTGGTGAACTACGCTGGCCAAAGGAAGTACCATGGTGAGCAGAACACATAGTGCCTGTCCTCATAGTGCTTATATTCCAGCCTGCCTCTGAAGCACAGTCCTTGAACTGTCTTGATGGATCCTTCTGATCACCACATGGGCTGGACAGAGTAGGGGCTAGTGTTATCCCCATGACACTGATGGAGAAACGGAGGCCTGTAACTCACTAATAAGCACTAGGGTTCATTCTTCTGAGTCTTTTCAATAGTCCACGCTGCTCCAAGGGTGGAGATCGTGTTTACAGTTTACACTGTGGGAATCCAAGTATGGAGTGTAGTGCTCATCACATAGTAAGTGTTCAACAAATATCTATTACACTTAAAAAATGAACAAACACACTGCTGGAGGGAATTCAGTGGCTTCCCCTTATGAATGGAGGACTAGGGCTTTGCTGATCTTCAAAGCATGGCCCAGTGCCAGGATGAATGGACAGCTTCAGGGGATCCATAAATCTCTGCAGCTGCGTGTGGTATGATGTGGGTTTGTGACGTTTTCTGAGGGTAAGGGTCTCCACTGCTCAGCAAATTCCCTAAAGAGTCCATGAGCCAGACTAGGGTCAGAATCACTTGTGGAGAAAAGCTAAAGGCAGAGCCAAGAGATTTGGTATTTGGTCCTAATTTTCCCTCGTCTCACTGTGCAAGGACCCACGCAGAATCCTTCTCAATCTTGAACTTCAGCCGTTCTACTTGTAGATTTAGAGGTGTTGGGACTGGATCATAAAGTCCTTAACCTCCATCTTGACCCTTCCATGTTGACTTTTTCTTTTTCTTTCTCTTTCTCTCTCAGATCCCAGAACCCGCTGGCCAAGCTCCACGGGTCCTCCATCTTGGAAAGACATCACTTGGAGTTTGGCAAGACACTGCTGAGAGATGAGGTAGGACGGGGCTGAGGCCTCATCTCAGAAGGAGCCTGAGCGCACCCAGGCAGCCTCCTTGCATTGGCCTAGGCTGCCATGAACTCCCGCCATCTAAGGTGACCACCGGGAGGTGGCTTACTAACCGCCAGCATCGTCTCTCACACCTCCCCTCTGGTTTTCTCTTTAGAGTTTGAATATCTTTCAAAACCTCAACCGCCGGCAGCATGAGCACGCAATCCACATGATGGACATCGCGATCATCGCCACGGACCTCGCCCTATATTTCAAGTTGGTATTTTTTTCTCACTTTCATAACAAGAAGACCAATGATTATAATAACAATAGCAAACGTAGTTCCAATGGATCTTTATTATGTGCCAGGCCCAACACTATAGCCCTGTGAGTTATCATTCCTCTCATCCTATGTATGGGGAAACTGAGACCCAGGGTAGGAGATTTGCTAAAATCCAATAGCAAATCAGCACAGTCTGGGTTAGAGCCTGTCTTCACTCTCAGCCATTAGTTTGGCCAAGTGTGTCCATTTCATCAGTCCCCATATGAAATGAGCAGTGTGAGCAGCACAGGTATGTCTTAACCTAAGACTTGCTTCCTTTAACAAACTGATGTGTTTCGTAGGAAGAGGACCATGTTCCAGAAGATCGTGGATCAGTCTAAGACATATGAAAATGAACAGGAATGGACACAGTACATGATGTTGGAGCAGACGCGAAAGGAAATTGTCATGTGAGTTGAGGCGGGGCTAAGCCCTGACCCTCGACAGCTAGGGTCGTGAGGTGGGAGGCTGCATGGGTAGATCTTGCTGCTTTTAAAAGATCTGGGACATCTTCCATTTTGGAGGCCTCCAGTTTATTGGGGAGGGGGCAGTTATTCCCAAACCAAATAGCACAAGTTATAATAGAGGTTTAGTCTTTATTTTAGCACTAAAAATATAAGAAACCACATCATTTATTTCTCTGTACACAAAAAGTGTAAAATACAGGATTTGGGTGGCAAAGTGATATGACTTTCAAGTTTTTTTTATAAAACAACAACAAAAATACTAGGCTTCTGTGATTCACCTCTATTGATGAGGAGGTGAGAAGTGAAAATTTGTGATCTTTTTTGCAAATATGTAGCCCAGGCCAAATGGTTCCTGCTTCTCTTTGATGGGTTCACAGCATCGATATTGGTAATCAAGAAGGGTCTTAAGGGAGGATCACCAGGTCCCAAGGAAGCATTTCCTTGTTTATTCATCCCCTGATCCTTCTGTGGAAGTGAGCTGTGATAAAGTCACAGCACTGCAAATTTCTCCACAGAGGAGAGACAGCCACTGGGACAGGGAAAGGAGGGCCAAGATGCTCCTGCTGCAGCCCTTTAGTTGTCCAGTCAGGCCTCTAGAAAGGTCCCCTGATCCTGGGGAGCAGCGTGACCAGCTCCTACTCAACAAGGGTGCAGATTCAAGTTGGGACTGCTCCCAGGAAGACCAGGAGCTGCCCCACCAGACATTTCAAAATGGTCCAGCAGAAGAATTGAATCCATTGTAAGATTGGGAAGTTATCTGTTCTCCTAATTAGGTATTCATTTAAAGTGATTCCAAGAAAAATACCTACTGTGCTTTGGAGGAATGAGGAAGCTGATTCCAAAACTCTCATGAGGAATATGTACGCAGAAATCGTCAGAAAGTTCTGAACTAGAGCAGTAATAAGGCAGGTTGGTCCTAGGCATGGTTAGTTGTCAGGTCAATGGAACACGCTTGAAAGACCACGCGTGTGCTAAAGTGGATCTCCTACTGACAGAAAAAGCATAAGATCATAAAGGGCACTGGGACAACTGGGTGGCCTGTACAACAAAGTAAATTCCAGACAAATAAAGACTTTTTAAATAATAAGGGAAAGAGAGAGACAGGATGGGGAAAGTATGAGAGAATTAAAAAGAATAATTTCAGATGCATTTTCCTAAGTATGGACTGTAATTCACATCATAAAAAAATAGGTGAATAGATTTGATGGCATAAAAATTAAGAATTTCTGCACAACACACACACAGAAATTCAAGGCCAAAGTCACAAGGCACCGTGATAAGCTGTAGAAAACATTACAACACTTCAGACAGAAAAACAAACAAACAAACAAACAAACTCATCTCCTCAGCAAAGTGTTAATACAATTCAAGAAAGACTAACCCAATCAAAAATGGACAAAAGACATCCATTTGGGTCATCAAACAGATGTTTCCAGAAAACTTGTTTTCAGAGGCATGAAAAAATCAATGAAAAATGATGACCTTACTCCAGAGAAGTTCAAAACAGAACTGCAACAAGTTGCAATTTCTTACCCCTCCTCTTGGCAAAGATGAAAATGTTTAACCCACGGTGTTGGCCAGAGCCAGGGGAAACAAGCGATCTCATTCACTATGGTGGAAGTATATGGAGGCATAGTCCTTATGGAGGACAACTGAACATTACCATCAAAATTGCAAATGACCCTACTCTTCAACCCTTGAGTCCCACATATTTCCCACCAGGCATTCTCTTACATGTGCACCAAAGAGTGCATACACACCAGGTGTGGTAGTACACACCTATAATCCCAGCAACTCAGGAGGCTGAGGCAGGAGGATCAGAAGCTTGAGGCCTGCCTCAACAACTTAGTGAGGCTCTAAGCAATTTAGGGAGCCTCGGTCTTAACTTTAAAAATAAAAAGAGCTGGGGATGTGGCATAGTGGCTAAGTACCCCTGGGTTCGATAACCAGTATCTTAAAAAAAAAATAAGTAAATATATATATATATATGTGTGTGTGTGTGTGTGTCTGTGTGTCTCTCTGTGTGTATACATATACATAAAATATATATCTAAAAATATGTATATATGTACACACACATGATTTGTATTCCCAGAAAATATTGAAAACAACCTAGTACCCAACTGGTGCCCAAGTTACAGAAGTGACAGTGCTTTCATACAATGGAATGTCATACAACCTTTGCAAACAAATGATGTCATATAAAAGATGTGATGTTTAATTTCTTTCAAAAGCCAGGAGCAGGACTTCGGTTGTAAAGGCAAGGTAATCTTAAGCAGGAGTCTTCAGGCTGAGAAGCACGTGTTCCCAAGGGAACCCAAAACCTCCCGAACATGTATGGGCATCAATAGCTTTAAGGGAGTCGGTATTCTTCCTTAATACTAATCACCTGGAGAATGCAGACGCACAGTGGGTGGGGCATTCCCTCTCCTCCCACTTTAACAAAAGAAAATAGGTGATACTAGGTGGTAATACGAGGAATGGAACCCAGGGCCTGCAAGCATGCCAAGCAAGGGTTCCACCACCTAGCCACATGATAAGCCTTCATTTCACCCTTTCTTGTAGTGTATTGGCCCGGTGCAAAAATCTTTGGGTCATCAAACAGAGGTATTCTTTGAAATATTGGTGACTTTTAAAAAATTTTAATTTAATTTAATGGTTTCTTTTTTGTACTAGGGATTAAACCCAGGAGTGCTTTACCACTGAGCTACATACCCAACCCTTTTTATTTTTTATTTTGAGACAGGCTCTTGCCAAGTTGCTTAGTGGTCTCAGTAAGTTGCTGAAGCTGTTTCAAACTTGTGATCCTCCTGCCTCAGCCTCCGGAATTGCTTGGATTATAGACATGCACCCAGCCTAAAGTTTTTTGTTGTTTTAAAAGCAAAACAAGGTATTGAGAATGGAGGATTTTGTCCTGCGATATATGATGAATTGGCAGCATCTTTCATTTAAAATCATAGTTCCTTTAATAATCATAATTCTTTCAGAAAATATATCACTGCCCAGGGACCATAATATTAGAGCAAAGGCACATCAGAATAAGTACTGAAGGTGGCAGTTCCTGATTTTTTACAAACTTCTATCTACATTCTATAGCTACCTGTCTTAGTCAGCTTTCTGTTACTGTAACCAAATACCTGAGATAATCAACTAAAAAAGAGGAAAGGCTTTGGTTTTTGGTTCATGGTTTCAGAGGTTTTAGTCCATGGTCTCTTGGATCTGTTGCTTTGCAGCTGTAGTGGCAAAATATATCATGTAGTATTGCATGGCAGGGGAGGCCCGTTCACCTCATGGTGGCCAGGAAGCAGAAAGCTAGGAAGAGGAAGACCCAGGATACAAATTTCCCTTTAAGTATCTGCCACCACTATCTCTCTTCTATCCTCTGTCTTCATGTCTGTCTATCTAATATACCTATAAACCTGTTCCTCTGTCTATCTCTACCTTCCTTAGAATTAAAAATAGAAAAGAAAATAAATGAAAAAACTTAAAAAAAAAAAGATAGAGTATCATTGGGACACACTCTAACATGCTTATTTGAGTTGAAAAATAAAGTCAACTTCTTTCTGAGAGAAACAAGCCTGATTTGGTTGCTTTAGTGACAGTGAAAGGCTGGCATTTCCTATGATGTTGGATGGCAAACATTTTCATAAATTAAATAAGTGAAACCTGCAGCTTCCAAGTCTTGAAGAAAACACAATTGAAATTCATCACAAGATAAAAGCATTTTATTAAAAAGCACTGCAAATATATATTAAAATTAACATTTTAATTTATCTAACCCATTCTCAGTGTCTACAGCTAATCCAAGTATTGCTGAGAAAATTTCAGGGGTGTCATATGAAAAGTCTTGGCTAAATCTTCATGGCGTGCTTCCCAGAAATTGAAGCAATAAAAGATTCTTAAGCTTTCTTTCAATTAAATGGAAGGAGAACATAATTGAATTGTCAGCTGATAGGTCATTCAACATAATGATCACAGTATAATTTTTTAACAGTTAACTTGGAAGAATTCAAAGAATTGAGTGATATTGTTATAACTAAACTCCATTTTCAGGGGTGTTAAGTACTTGCACTTATAAAAATGAAAAATGGGCATAAAATAGATGCTGATTCTATTTCAGTCTAGCGATAAGAAATATTCATTACTTAATTGATTGTTATAAAATAACTTTGTCCTTCAGGGAACAGTGGCTTATGCCTGTAATCCCACTGACTCCGGAGGCTGAGACAGGAAGATTCCAAATTAGAGGGCAGCCGTGGCAACTTAGGGAGACCCCTGTCTCAAAACAGTGAAAAGCCTGGGATATAGCTCAGTGGTTGGTAGCCCCCGTAGGTTCAATTCCCAGTATAGAAAAGAAAAAGAAAATCCTATCTCATTAAAAGATAAATTCCTAAAAACAAACTAGTTTTGAGTTTTAATAATTATTATAAGAATAGAAAATATATTTTGGTGTTTTTTTAAATTAATTTTGTAATAACAAAAATTCTGAACACTTAAAGGCTTATTGTCAAAGAAAACAATCTTAATTATATAATTTCAACTAATGAATGTATTCAGTTACAGATAAGTATGAAAGGGTATCAGTGAAAGATTCTCTGGCATATGTTTGCATACATACCGCAGACACACACATCCATACGCATGTACACACACAATACTAGGACCAAATTCTATGGGGGAGGTCAAGTAGAACTGTGAGTTTACAGAGAAGACCTTGTGCATATGTTTTTTTTTTTTTTTTTTAACCATGGATGATGGGTTAGTATCGAATTGCTGTACTCTTTAGATTCCTTTGGACCTAAAGAATGATGTAGCTATGCATGGTGGTGCATGCCTGAAATCCCTGTGCCTCAGGAGGCTGAGGCAGGAGGATCTCAAGTTTAGGGCCAGCCACGGCAACTTAAAGAGGTCCTGTCTCAAAATAAAAAATAAAAATAAAAAAA